GGGAGGGTGTGGCCCCAGCCACCGCCACACCGCCGGGAGCGCGCCGGGCGCGGCGGGGCACAGACGGGGAATGGAGCCCCGCGGGTTCCACGGCCCTGGGAAGGCTCGGCCCCTGCATCCCGACGGGCCACAGCAGCATCCTCCCTGGGAGTTGTGAAGCTGCCCCAGCACCTTGGCCTCGGTCCTTGAGGGGATGGAGGAGGGGAGGGCGCCGGAGGGCAGTCCCTTTAGACCGGTGATCTCCGAGGAGAAGCTGCCTTTCAGCCACCTCGACTTCCCCTCTCTGACCCTCTGCCCTTTCCAAGCTGAGTCGCTGCGTCCCCTGGCCACCAGGGTCGTGTCTAGGTGGGTCTCCCATCGCAACGCACCCGGCTGCACACCAGGCACATGGCAGCCCCGGCCAACCCTCCGAAAAAAAAAAAAGATGAAATCATTGCTAGGTAGTGCACACCGCGCTCCCCACCGGGCTCGAACGCTCGGCGCTCCGGAGGTGGCTAGTCCAGGGCTGCGCCGCCCCCGGGCGAACTCAGCCACCCGCTCCCTCCCCCTCCCTGCTTCCGAACAGGGTGCGGGCACTCGAGCCGGGAACGAAATTGCTGGGTGACACTTAACTTTCTGAATTCCGGGCTGTTGGCTGCGGGTGATATCACCGCCTGGGTGTCAGGTTTCTCCGCCCCTTCTCGAGCGCCCCTCCCCCGACTTTTGTCGCCACAATGTTTTTGCTGAGTTTCTCCGCCTCTTTTTTTTTTTTTTTTTTTTTTTTAAGCCCCCAACTTCTAAAAGACACGGTGGGGACGTTATACAATCTCGTTGTTTGTGTCATGAGAGGTTATGATTTTGTAACAATGAACACTGTAAAACGCTCTTAAGCGTATTTGTTATTTATTTTACCCTATCCCAGATAATGTTCCCGTGATGTTTTGCAAGATTGAGTAGTGTCGTTCCGGGATTTGTTAAACGGAGCGTCGCAGTAAATAATTTTAAGCTGCTGGTTGAATCTGGTTTCGATCTAATTTGTATGAACAGGTTCTGACAAACGATAAAGAAAAATAAAGTGGCGGTGTTTCACAATGCATATGGATATGCATTTGCTAGTGCTACTTTGGGAGAAATCCCATTTTGATGTGCTCAAAAACATAACTGCTTTACAGGCTGCTGGAGGCTTAGCGTGTGATGAAGTAGAATAATTTTTTCTTTTTAATTCTTGGAAAGGCATCCGTTCTAATTTAAGTTGTGAAACTTATTTCTTCATTTAGTTTTAAAAAACAATTTTAAACTGCATGGTTTTGCTTGTAACTTCAGAAGAGACTAGAAATGTTGTGAATTCACAGAGCTTATATCTCTCAAAGGAAACTCAATGTTGAGATTTAGGGAGGCCCAGAGAAATCAACCACAGGAATCCTTCTTTAACTTTCAAGTTATTGACTTCTTGTACCTTTCTGTTATGATGGGGGGGGAAAGTTCTTAACAAATTGCTAGTGTTGCTCTCTTTCCTCCCTTTTTTATCAATATATTTTTAGTTTTTTTAACTTGTTTATTGTTATTTCATGTGCTATGGTGTTTTGTCTGCAGAGTGTTGGATACCCTAGAACTGGAGTTACAGATAATTGTGAGTTGCCATGTGGGTGCTGGGAATTGAACCTAGATCCTCTGGAAGAGCAGCCAATGTTCTTAACCACTGGGCCATCTCTCCAGGCCCTCCTCCTTCTGTTTTTTGTTTGTTTGTTTGTTTTGTTTTGTTTTTGTTTTGTTTTTACTTACAACTTTACTTGTTTCGTTTTTTCTTAAAATTTGAAAAACAAACCATTGATCACAGATAGTGCGGCAGACTGAGCCACCTTCCCCAGTGCTTCTGTGCTGAAAATGGGCGCTGCTATTTATGCTCCTAGCATTGGTATGTGAATAAAAACCTTTTGTGGTGACACACACCTGCATATGGAGGTGGAGGCAGGAGGAGGATCAGGAGTTCAAGGTCATCCACAGCTGAATAGCAAATTCAAAGCCAGCCTCAACTAGAGGAGACCCTGTCTCGAATTTTTGTTTGTTTGTTTTTTTGTTTTTTTGTTTTTCTAGACAGGGTTTCTCTGTGTAGCTTTGGAGCCTATCCTGGCACTCTCTCTGGAGGCCAGGCTGGCCTCGAACTCACAGAGATTCGCCTGCCTCTGCCTCCCGAGTGTTGGGATTAAAGCCGCCAACGCCAGCTCTGTCTCAAATTTTTAAAAGTATGTTTCCATGTTGATTATGAGTTATTCCAGTGGATTCAAAGCACTAAAGTTTCTTTCCATAAACAGGGAGGCTTGTTATATAGGATGAGCAGACATTATCCTACTAATAGAGCAGGGTTACTATTAATCAGGTGTTCATTTGAGCAAGAAAGGCACCATTAATAATTATTCTACAACAGCAGGCTTAAACCTGGGCATGTCTTGGGCAGTCACTCAATTTTTCTAAAAGTAAAAAAGTAGAGTAACTTTCTTGTTTAACTTTTTGTGGTTTTATTTGATTTGATTTGATTTGATTTGAAACAAGATCTCTGTAGCCCACACTGGCTTCACCTTTCAGCATTCCTCTACCCACGTGCTGGGATTACAGGTGTGAGCAACTATACCTGAATTTTTAAAAGAACAACAACAAAATTTCATTTATTTATTTTGCTGTGTGTGTTAGGCAAGCAATATGCCACTGAGCTACATACCCCAGCCCCAAAGTAACTTTTAAGATTTTAAAGTCCTTAGAAAAGCCAGGAAAAGTGGGACATTCATGTAGTTCCAGTTACTTGAAGGGCTGAGAGGGAACAGATCACTTAAGGCTGGGACCCAACTAACAGAGTTAGACCAGCAGAGCCTAGACCAATAGTTACATTCTATCTCAAAAAAAAAAAAAAAAAAAAAAGAGAAGAGGGCTAGAGAAATGACTTGGTACTTAAGAACATTTCATTTGCTTTTTCAGAGGACCTGGATTTGGTTCCCAGCACCCACACGGCAACCCACAACCACCAGTAACTCCAGTTCTGTGGACACCAACACTCACACATATAAAATAAAATAAATCTGAAATGAAAAGCCTTTAGACTCAACTCAGGCTGAGATTTTCAGGTTGCCTGGAGCAAGTGTGTACTCACAGGAAACTGTATCCTTGGGCTTTTCTCCAGATACTGTTGGCCTTGGCACTTTGCACTGCTTAAAATCTAACACACATCTCTGAACTGGTATAAACGGCTGTGATTCTTTCCTAAATAGAAACTCGTCTGGGTGTCTTGATGATTCTTCACCAGCTACTCAACTCTGCATACACATTGTCTTCTCACTGGTTTCCTTGTCACAGCTATTATTACCATCATCTCTGTAATTGTTTAGCTCTTATTATGTGCAGTCTGTGCTAAGTGCTTCTCAGACATTATCCATCCAGTCTTAGGAGGTGGATACTATATTATCCTCATTTTATAGAGAAACTTAGAGAAGTTAAGAACACCTGTCAAAGAAGGGAGACAGGATAGACTGCAGAAATTCCTTTGTCAATTGTCCTACTGTTCTTTCTTTTGATTGTCTACCTACATTTTCTTTCCTTTCTTTCTCAACAATGTCTCATTCTGTATTTTATTGCCTAGTCTAGCCTGGAATTCATTATGTAGCGCAGGCCAGCCTGGAACTCACTGTGTAACCCAGTCCTCCAGCCTCAACTTTCCTGAATGCAGAATGATGGCATGAACCACCATACCCACCTACATCTTCTTACTTTTTTAAAGCATTTCCCTTAAAAAAATAAAAAAAAAACTTATTTTGCTTAGATTTATTATTTTTTTATGTATATAAATGTTTTCCTTGCATGTACATCTGTGTATCATGTGCATCCTGGGGCTGGCATTGTGGACATCTGTGAACCGCCATGTAGGTGATGGGAATTGAACCCCAGTTCTCTACAAGAATCATGCACATGCGCGCGCGCGCACACACACACACACACACACACACACACACACACAGAGGCATGCACGTGTGAGAGCACCTTGAGGCTCACAATTCCTTGCAGCCTAGAGAAGCAGATGGGATAAGACTGCCCTGGAGAAGTGGCAGCATTGAGCTAAGAGTAGAGTTTGGTGAGTGAAGGAGAGAGGTGTGGAATTGTTTGGCCCATCCAGAAAATACTTTCACTCTAGCTGAAACATGGGGCTGAAAAGAAGAAATGACACCCAAGGGGCAGATGAGAAAAGAAAGGGTCACAGGCTGAGAGCGTAGGCTGTATGTTGGAATGGAGGCCATAGAGCGAAGAATGACAGGCCAGAGGGCTGCTCAGGAAGTTCCATTGTCTGACGCAGTAGGCAGTTGGAGGGCTGAAACAATAGCTGAGGCCTTCACCTGAAGGATCTTGTGGTACCAGATGTGCAGTTATGAGGATAGAAAAAGAGAAGAAAAGAAAAGGCTGGAAATGCATAAGACACACTAAGGAAAAGTGTTCAAAATGAGAAAGTATCAGAATCCTCAGAACAAGGAGCCAAGAAGGAAGCAAGCAGCTCCATGTTCTTCTGTCCCAATCACCTCAAAACAGTATGGATTCTTTTTATTAGCAACTGTCCGATCCTGCCTGTCTCTTACACGCATCTGTGTTGTATGCCTGGGACAGTGTGCTGTGTTCTGACTGCACCCATTCCATGAAATTTACATGAAAACTACGACCCTCACATTTGAGCTCGTGTGCCTTTCACAGCCACTGTGACTACGTCATAAAGAAGGCACAGTCCTTGCATTAATAAACTTGCTTTTTCTTAAATGACTTTTGTGGGGGGAGGGGAGGAGCAGTGTTTTGTCAGCAAAACTAGCAGTATGCATAGGTCAGGGTCTCTTGCTCTGAGGGAAATAGACACAGCACTGTCAGATCTCTGTGGGTCAGCAGGAGATGGTCAGGGGCCCATCTCTGCTCCACAGTGAGCACCATAACAGACTAATCTTATCAAGTTAAGAAAAAAACAAAACAAAACTCTGCTCAGAGGTAACTTCGGGGGAAAATTTTACCTTTGTATTCTTCTGGTAGAGAAAAATATCTAGAACAAAATGGGGGAGGGGGAGATGAGGCATGTTACTTCCCCTTTTCTCTGGCTACCATTCAGGCTGTCTGCAGATAGATTCTGGGTGGCTCGCCTGCTGAGGCTGTGTTATTAGCACAAAGTGGTCATTCCAGTGAACTTGGCCTGTTTTGTGGGCCTGATGCCCACCTTCTGTGTAGTGGGAACTGGCCTGGAAGGTGGTTGGCTGACTCGGCACATTCTGTAGTCTTCAGCAAAGACTAGAGTTTCCACACGGAGTTAGGCAACACAGGCAAGGGCTAGGAATTTGCAACCAAGGTCTGATGTTGACAGTCTTGGCAATTCTCTGCAGCCAGCCCACAAAGACTCCTTGCATTTCACTATAAAGAGCCTGGGCATTGCTAGTGGGTTGTTTTTTGTTTGTTTGTTTTTAAAGATAAATTTTTAAGTTGAAAAGTTATATGAGAAGATACCAAATCACAGTACACTATTTGGCTCAATAGTGCATAGTCCTTTACACGGTCATAAAACTTGAAACAATGATTTTTTTTACCGTATTTTTTTTCCTTTTCATCATACTTGGTTCTGGGTTATGTAAGAGTATTTTCATAGTCGTATGTAGTTTACTTTGAATATATTGCCCCATAGTCTCCTGCCTGCCCTTTAGTCTCCTTTGTTTCCCTAAACAGTTTCTCTTTCACTTTCTTTTTAGATTGCTCCTATTATTCATGTGTTCCTGGTGCCCTGGGAAGGCAGGAGAGGGGTTGGGATCCCTGGAGCTGGAGTTGCAAGCATTTGTAAGCAGCCCAATGTGATGCTGGATAGAACAGAAAGCCCTTTAACTGCTGTGTGGTACCTCCCGCTCTTGCCATCAGCAAGGAAAAAGAGCACCAATCTTGGCTGCCTTTCTCTAGAGAGAAAGTGAATTGGTGTGTTCGAGGCAGGGGCTTTTCATTTAAAGTGATCAGCATTCTCTTGAAGGTTTTGTGGTAGTGTATAGTCATCTGTTGTGAGGTTTAAAAGAGGTAACAAGAAAGCACTTAGTCTAGCTATGCACTGCCCCAAAGAGTAGCTTCACAATTTTTTTTTCCCTCTGGATAGTAGCCTCCTCCCCATAGGCTTGCTACTAAGGTTGTGATAACACATAACCTTGTTGTCTCAGCAGCATTTGAAGAAGAATTGTGCTGAGATCTCTCACAGCACTTATGTACCAAGGCAACAGGATTGTAACAATCTAATCTGTTCCCTAGCCTTTTCTGCTTTGCAAGTCTTTTTGTTGTTATTGTTTTGACTGGGGCTGTTTGTTCTGTTCTGTTCTGTTGTGTTTTCTGTTAAAGACAGAATGTTGGGCAGCCCAGGCTGGCCTCAAACCTCCTATGTGCTGAGGTCCTCCTTGAACTCCCAATCCCCAGCAGGAAGAATGCAAGCTTTTGCCACCATACCCAGCTTGTTGGTTTTGCTGATGTATGGGGTAGCTACTTCTCAGTTTTACACTGCCCAGAAACCTACAGAAATTCCAGACACTCTCTCTAGTTCACAGCACCTAGTGCTTTTCATTGCCTGCATCTAAGGATGCAAAAGAGAACAAGTCAAGATGGAACTCCTGCTGAGGTCCTACAGATTGAGAACTTGCATATGCAGCCAGACTAGCAGAGAACGGTCACCCATCCATGTATCTTCTTCTAAATGCACAAGGTCACCTGAGAAGTGTCTGTCATTTGGCAGCCCTCTAGGAAACAGTGAAAGGGTTCCTTTTCCATTGGGTTGTTGCAGAAGGGGTCCAAATGGAGCAGAGATGAGATTTGGGTGCCCTCTCACCTGGAGTCAGAAGTGACCTGTGCCTGCTTTCAGTTACACAACAACTTCCGGTTTTTCTTTTCATATCTGAGTTCAGTGCAGAGTGTGGCATACCTTCAGTGTTTGGTTCAGAAATAGGACAAGGGAGGAAGCAAAGTAGGGAGGATTTCACTGGTTTCTTTCCCCTCTGTGTTCATGTTTATCGTGTTTCTCTTGATTTCAAGAAGAGAAACAGTTTTATTAACAACTGCTGTTTAAAATCTGAAGTGTGTGAACCTTTTCTATTGTGGGAGCATTTTCAACACGCCAGCAATTACTCTCCTGAGAGAATAACCTAATTATTCTGATATCTCTACCTAAATCAAAAGTAGGACACTACATTCATTGGAATGCTAATGGCTACACTTAATTGATTTCAATGTTTCATAAGAGAAAGCTTTTAGCCCTATATTGAGTATTTTTTATTAAAAGAGAAAAAACTAAACTTGATCTGTTTCAATGAAAGATTGTCATCAATAGATATTTAGAAAGACTTGTCCAAAACATTTCTTATGACTCAAGTGTCAGAATTATATCATGTAATTCATTTTTTCTACCAAAATAAAGCAATTTTGTGCTAGTTCCCTGCTGATGATTGATTCCCTGACCCTTGTAGGAAAAGGTTGTGTTTAAAGAAAGGAACTAACCCATCTGTGGTGTGTTTCCACAGTCATATAAGGCTGTCTGTGGTGTGTTTCCATAGCCATATATGGCTGTCTGTGGTATGTTTACAGAGCCATATATGGCCGTCTGTGGTGTGTTTGCATAGCCATATAGGGGCTGAAGAGACAGCTCATGTTAAGAGCACTGCTTGCATGTGTAGAGGATCTTAGTTAGATTCCCAGAACTCACATGATGGCTCACCACCTGTAACTCCAGTTCCAGAGGATCCAGTGGCCTCTTCTGGCCACCGACGGCTCCTACATGTGTATGGCACACATCAACTCAAACAGGCACACTCATAAATAAACAAATAAGTAATAGTATGTATTGTTGTACTTAGTTCAACATAGGTAACTCATTCCACATAGAGTCAGGTAGAGCGGTAAAACATTTCAGTAGTCAATAATAAAAAGAACATTTTATTTCTTTATGACTACTCCTTTCTTTGTAACTTCTATATTTTTCTATTTTTTTTTGAGTGCTGGGGATTATTTACATTCTCAGGCATGCTATCTAAACACTTGCCACTAAGTTCTATCCTCAGCCTGGTACTCTATCATCTTAAAATAAAAGTTTTAGGAGATTAAAGCAATTCATTGTGGCGGCAAGGTTTGTGGTTTTATGCCAGTGAGCCTTCTGGAAGTCACATTTTTGTGCAATGCACAGTATTTAATATTTTCACCCATGATCCAGGTTGTTAACTCTAGGGAAAAGACAATAGAGTAATTGCTGCCTTTATTCTCACTCACCTCTGCAAAATCTACTCCCCCAGATGAAGGGGGGATGTTAATGAGGGGCTCCTGAGTTTGTGAAACATGTAGTTACAAGGAACCTAGATACTTAGATGCTGACTCCAGATGTGTACTGTGTAACCAGGAAGCACCAGCAGGTCAAAGGTGAGCGTAAGGAATTGTTTCTGGGGTCCAAGATCCCTATTTCAGTGGCAGTGTGCACATGTTCATCTCCATTTAAAAAACAAACACTAGGGCAGTTTTAGGCACATGACTCCTTTGTTGTCTGAATGTAAAATAAAATGGTGCATCCAGACTCTACTAGTACTCAATATCATACTCTAGGATAACATGTAAAATCATATTGCATGCTTGCAACATGTAAGAATAAGATTATAACTCAGTGCCATCTGAGCCACATTTCAGTTAAGATGAGAAGCTGGGATCTTCACTCCAAACATGGGGAAGCTTGGGAAGTGGTAACTAGTGCTGCAGATGGCCCTACTGATAATAAATCCCAATCCCAGGGAAAAGGCAAGCCGGTACAGACTCCGTGTCTTCAAACATGCCCAGGCCTTTCTGTGTGGACCAGCCCATGCATGAAAGTATACAAAACATCAAGTTCTGCATGCTTAGTCCTTTCAAGACACAGAAAAAGCGGGCTGGAGCGAGGGCTCAGCACTTCAGAGCACCTGCTACTTACTCAAGCAAATGACTTGAGTTCAGTTCCCAGTACCCATTCCAACAGCTCACAGCCATCCAGATACAGGGAGATCTGATGCCCTCTTCTGGCCCCCACACAAAGAAGGGGCACCTTTGGAAGTTCTGAGCCAATGGCGGTTGCATCCTGAGTCTGGTGTTAAGGTATGGCCTGTTTCTCTTTCCCCAGGACACCTGGATGATGATGGATTACCACACGGATTCTGCACTGTCACCTACTCCTCCACAGACAGATTTGAGGGCAACTTTGTGCATGGAGAAAAGAATGGACGTGGGAAGTTCTTCTTCTTTGACGGCAGGTAGCCCTCTCTGTTCTGTTTAGTTTGGGGCTGGCAGTGGGGGGTGGGGGTTGTCTCCAATTATTTCAAATCAAAGAATGATACAAATGCAAGAATTCAATTCAAAGTCTGTATACCCCTCATGTAAAAGGTGAGTGAGAGTAATCCCAACATGTATGCAAGGCTTTGGTGACCAGAAATGACAGTGGTGGCTGTGCAGAAGCCAGTCTAAGGTATGCTGAGTCTGGCATGTGTCTGTTCAGTGATGTTCTGCCAAGCCAGATTCAGGGGGCCCCATCTTGCACACATTCATTTCAAATACAGTTCAAAAACTGTAACATAGCTCAATGACATCACACAAGCTGGAAAGCAAGAACTAACCCCCAAAGTTGTCCTCTGACCTCCCCATGTACCATGCCCATCCTCACATATGCTCAATGTGCACAGGCATACACATCATATATACACACATACTCACACATTGCACACACACACACACCACACACACACACACACACACACACACACACACACACACACTGGCCCCCAGGGGTCTCTTTCAGGGTGTTGCCTCCTCTTTCAGAATCCCTCTGTCCTAAAAGTAATTCTCCTGTTCCATTTGCATGACAATTTAACCAAAGCTCTTTTACTGGGAAATAACAATTTTTACTTTATGCTGGGATTATATTTGTATTCATTCAACAATATATGTTTTTGTAAATGTCTTATTTCTCCTCCCCACCTAAGGAGAGTTTCTCTATCTATGACATTCTACTGTACTTTATGACACTTTCCCTTAATGTGATACTTTAAAACAATGATAAAGTCCTTGCCACGTGGATGTGGGAGCTGAAAGCAAGTTAGAATTTATCCAGATGGCTACACACACACACATACTCACACACACACACACACACACACACTCATACACATGAGCATATTCATCTTTTAAGTTTGGTAGTTAGATAAAGATAGCCAACAATTGACTGACTCTTAGGAAAATAATCCATCAAATTGGTTGTATTTGGTGGCATTTACCTATCAGCTTTACAGACCTGGTGTACAAGAACATTAATAAGCTACCCTGAAGATTTGAGCCAGTGTGCCAAAATACACTCCCCGTTAACCACAAGAAACTGAACCTTTAGTGGGCAGGTAGAGATGGAGACTCCCCATCAGGTGCCACGTGGTCTGGAGCCTGACCACGTGGATGGTCCTGAGGATATTGTAGGAATGTTTCTCTGGTACTGAGAATGCTTTGACATCTGCACCTCTGATTGATTGTAACCTCTAATCTGGATGTTTTGTACAGTTTAGCTGTTCTCTGTGTCACCAAAATTTGTAAACCTAGAGCTAGAACTTGTCACTAGCCTAGAACTGGGAAAAGAGAAAGAAAACAAACAAACAAACAAACAAACCCAGCAGCATCTATTTTGAGGCTTTGGAATGGTCATATTAGGGAGTAATGTTGTCCTTAGCCCAAGGTAAAAGTGAGGTAATTTATTATATGAATGATTGTTCTTCAGTACTGGGGACTGAACCCAGGACCTCATGATGCCAGGCAAGTGATCTACCACCAAGCTTCATCTCCTGCTATTTCAATTCTGTTTCTAGTTACCTGGCTGTCCTCACAGTTGCTGTCCTCCTGCCTCATCCCATAAAATGCTGGGAGCATCGTTGTGTGCCATAGAACCCAGAGTGTGAATATTTATTGTTGATGCTTTTCTTAGCTATGCCAACTAGTTTTCAAAGTATTTGCTACTGCATACCTTTAGTTTTCTGTACCCAAGTCATTTTCGTGTGTGTGTGTGTGTGTGTGTGTGTGTGTGTGTGTATGACATGTGTATGTACATGTGTATATATACGTTTATGTGTGTGATAAGTGTATATATGATGCACATGTGTGTATTGTGTATGATGTGTGGTGCACATGTGTGGAGGATAAAAAACTCCATTATTGCTCCTCATTGCCATGAGTCTTGATTTTATAGTTTTTTTTTATTACATTGATTTATTTTTTGGGAGGAGCTAACCATGCCACAGGACAACTTGCAAGAGTTGGTTCTCTTTCTACCATGTGGGTGCCAGAGATAAAGCTGTTATCAGGTTTGGTGGCAAGTGCTTTACCTGATGAGCCATCTGGTGTGTTTTGTGTTTGTTTTGAGATAGGGTCTCTCTCTGGCTAGACAGAGATTACGAATCCATGCCATCACACTTGGCTTTGTTTTGTAAGTGGGTTCTAAGGGACTGATGCACATCCTTCTGTTTGCAAGGCAAGCAGGTTACCAATTGAGCTATCATCCGGCCTCCCAAAGTTGTTTTCTAACGCTGGTTCCCTGTACTGCTGTGTCCTGCTGAGAGGGATCCTATGTGCTGAGGGGCAGATGGTGACATTTCCCAGGTTGTTAGAAGGTGCTTGGTCACATTTCCGAGAAGCTGCAGTGGAAATGAACTTTTGAAGTCACGAATTCCAGCCTCTCATGTGAGGCAAAATCCTTTCTGTGTTCTTGACCATCAAGCTCAGCAAATAAATATATTTGGGTTTACAATCCCATTTCATTTATGAAGAAACTAAGGCTTGGAGAGGCTAAATAACTTTCCCAGAGTCCCCTAGTTAGTAAGAGTTAGAGTTGATGTGAATTCAATTCTTTATTATCTTTCTTTTTTTTTCCTTTTGCTTTCTCCCCACTACCCTCAGACAGGGTGTCGTGTAGCCCAGGATAGTCTTGCACTCATGGTGTAGTTGAGCATGATCTTGAACTCCCAACCCTCCTGCCTCTACCTTCCAGGTTTTGAGATTACAGGAATGAAACACTGACTAAATTCACTTTTAGAGGCAACCTTTTTTTTTTTTTTTTTTTTCTACATCTGCCACTCCATTCTGACCATAAGTGAGGAAATAGTGATGGGTCGACTTCCTTTTTTCCTTGCTTTCTTTATTTTCTTTAAGATCACTTCTTAACTTTTTTGTTCGTTAGTTTGTTTGTTTAGTTGGTTAGTTGGTGTTTTGTTTTGTTTTGCTTTCTGACCCAGGGTTTCTCTGTGTAACAGCTCTGCTGTCCTGGAACTTGCTCTGTAGACCAGGCTGACTTTGAATTCACAGAGATCTGCCTGCCTCTGCCCCCCCCTCCCCCAACCCTCTGCACCTAATGTTGGGATTAAAGGTATGTGCTGCCACCACCTGGCCAGCTGCTTTTCTATAGGTGCTTTAGCATTTGCTGGAAGCCCAGCAGGTTGATGGAAGGTGTTCCTAAGGGGTCATTTTTAGTAGTGGCCTCTCCAAACTCCTGTTTTCTCATTTGTAGGATGGGGATAAATGCTTGAATGAGAAAAGCCATAAAGATCTTGGAAGACATAGCACACCTGGCAAGTGTCTGCTGGAGGGGGAGGATGATGATGGTGACCAATCCTGATGTTACTCTAATCTTAGTTGATTACAATGGCCTAGAAGACTACTTGTTAGGGAAAACTTGCAAGTGTCAAATGTCTTTAATGTTGCTACACTCACACAACAATCAACTACTCCAAAAGGTGTGGTTTTCCCACACACACACACCAGCCCCCATCATCAAGTAAGCAATCCAGTACCAGATACCAACCATCGTCACACATTGCAATTCAGCTCTGTCATGTCCACCTAGGGTAGTGTTCATCTCTCATAGTTCTGGAGGGCTGAGGGCTTTGAGATCAGAAGCTGTTAGACTGATGTCTGGTGAGGATCTGCTGCCTGGCTTACAGATGGTTGCTTAACTTGTCAAAGAATGGAGAAGGGAGCCAGAGCAAGCAAGCTCCCTTGTGTCTTTTTATAAGGGCAGTAAGTGCACTCAGAAGGGCTCTGACTTCATAACCTAATACCTTCCCCAACATCCCACCTCCTAGGACCACCACATTGGGAAATAAGGCTTCAGATTTTACAGGGGCCTAAACATTCAGTCCAAAGCAGTACATTTTTAGGGTGTTCTTTTAAAGAAGAGAACTATATTTTGCTAATTGCTGTTATTTTGAGCCTTTGTGCTGATCAGATTCTCTAGACTCACATGTCCTCTGTGAAAGGATAAAAACAAAGACAAGAGCAGCTTTGAAAGTGTCCAGCATATGGCCAGAGGACCTGCAGAAAGTACTTCCTTCTGCTTGCCCATCACACTTCTGAAGGTGGAAGGTGTCCACTGGAAGTAACTTTAACAGATAGGTTAGGGCTCCTTTGCCTTCATCGGCTTGCAGTATGAGATAATAATTCAGCCACATGAGATAATTCCTAGAACAGTGTTTTGCACTAAGCCACAGTTTGAATCGTTAGAGATAGGTCCTTAAAGTAGAATCTGGTTCATTTTTAAGTTTCCTTCTCAAGGCTTATGTTGATGAGAATACACTAGCAGATGTGTCCAACCTTTTGTATTGGACACAATGTTATCATCTACAAAAGTTCAGACTTGAAAAACACAATATAATAGTTACCAAAAGAAAAAGAATATATCACCTCTCCCCAAAATCTTAACTTTTAAGCATGCTTGAGATTTGGTGTTGGCCACATGCAAAGCTGTCCCAGGCCATACACAGCCCACAAACTACAGGTTGGACACAGCTGTTAGAGAAAAGGAACAACTGTTAGGCAGGCCCATGAGGTGGGAAGGACAGAAACTTCTCAGTCCCCAAACCATGAAGAAAAGCCAAGCTTCCCAACTGCTCTTGTGTATTCAAACACTACAGAGGTGGCTGTCAATGAAACAGTAGTATTTAAATTAAGTACAGGTGCATCAATTGGGGTGAGAAGCTGCTAAATTTCTCCACAATTTGAAGTTATATTTCCTGTTTAATTGTTTTTGGAAACTTAGCACCTGATAAAATAAAAGGGCCTGTATATGTAGTTAAACTGTAGAGGAGTTAAATATGTAGAGGAGAAAGAAATGTAGTTAAACTGATGTTTTCATATCCCCTAAGTTTTCCAGTTGTTTGCTTAGATGCCATTGCCAGAAAAAATTAAACAACCCAATGGCCATTTTTGTTATTTCTTACTATCATCCTGAGGAGTCTGCCAAAATGTTATTAGGGAGCACGGCTTAAGAACATTCAAGCTGGGCCTAGAGAGAGGACTCCATGGTTAAGGGCACTTGCTGCTTTTCCAGAGGACCCAAGTTCATTTCCCAGCACCCACATTAGATGGCTCACAACTACCTGTAACCCCAGATCCAAGAGATCTGACACCCTCTTCTGGCCTCTACACACACACACACACACACACACACACACACACACACACACACCACAAATACACACATAAAAAGAAAAAAGAAAATTAAAATAGCAAGGGCTGTTAGTGGTGGCCTATTCCTACAATTCCAGCACTTGGGAGGTAGAGGCAGGAGGACCAAGAGTTCACAGTCCTCCTCAGCTACATAGTGAGTTCAAGGCCCGCCTGAGTACACAGGAGCGTGTCTCAAAACAAACAACAGCAAAATACAGAGCTGAGCATGGTGTTACAAGCTTGTAATCCCAACATAAGGAAAAAATAGAAGGATAATGAGTTTGAGGCTAGCCTGAGCTACACAGGGAGACCAAATAACAAAAAAAGAGATGGAGGAGGGAAAGAAAGAGGATGGGGAGGGAGAATGGAAATGTGTAATGTTTACATAAAAAGTCAGTCAAATACTTAGTACAAGAATAGTAAAACTGTATACTTTCTGTAGCTTGGTGATACTTAGTTTATTTTGTTAAAAAAAAACACACTATTTTTTATTTCTAACATTAAAGGTATCCATTCCTTCCTTCTTCCATTCAAATTGGATCATTTATAAATTACTGCAGAAGGAGAAGCATCTTTCTTACTTCCCTAAAAAGGTGGCTTTGAGGGCTCTGGAATTTAGCTAAGCTGTAGAGCATTTTGCTGTCCTGCCTTAAACTGCACTGTGTGTAGTAAGTCAGCTGTGCAAAGAGGAAAATGACTGTTTCTTGAGAGGGAAGTGAGAATAGGCTCACAGGCGAAGAGGCAATAGCAAGCCATCAGACATGGTTGGGACTGAGATCAAAATAAGATGGCTCAGTGGAGCTGGGTATAGAGGCACCTCCCTTAGTCCCAGCACTCAGACGCAGGCGGGTCTCTGTGAGTTGGAGACCAGCCTGGACTATATATATAGTGAGTTTCAGGACAGCCAGACCTATACAGAGAAACCCTGTATGGCGAAAGATCAAAACCAAAGAAACAAAAAAATGACTCAGTGTCTTGCCTTATCTGAGCTCGACAGTGGAAGGAAGAACTACTTCGCAAAAGTTGTCCTCTTACCTCCGTGTGCCAGCCCTGGCATTCGTGAACTTAACACTCACAAAAACATGTGCAAGTCTGTGCTGGTTTTTTCTTTTCTTTTCTTTTTAACTTGTCTGAGAGACCTGTGACTTTTAGATTTGATCATGAGTCTGAGAGTTACTTGCAGACTTGTCTGTTGGGAAAATACCCAAATATACATTCTGAATGCTGCTGGAAATCTGAAGTCAAATGGGTTGCCAGGACTAGCAAATAAAAACTGAGAGCACTTGGTTAAATCAAAACTTCAGACACAACATGTCTATATTTGTATCTTATATTCAATATTTGGGATATGCTCCTGCTAAAGTTCATAACCTGCCTAAAATTCAGAATTCACTGAGCATATTCTATCTTTTTTTGTTGGAGGTTCAAGATAGGGTTTCTCTGTGTAGCCCGGGGTGTCCTAGAACTTGCTTTGTAGACCAGGCTGGTCTCAAACTCATGGAAATCTGCCTGCCTCTGCCCCTCTGCCCTTCTGCCCCTCTGCCCTTCTGCCCCTCTGTGTCCCAAGTTGAAGGATTAAAGGCATGCACCACTACCACCTGGCTGTTCTTGTATCTTACCTCACAATGCCTCCCAGAAATGGAGAGAGATGACTGAACCGCTTCCCTGCACTGCACACATCACCCAGTCTGTTGATTAGCAATCCTTCTCTTAATTGTGTGAATCTAATGACAGTTGAATCTCATTAATTCAGTTTCACTGAATTTAGAGTTTTGATTATTTATGCAAAAGCTATGTTAAAGTATACTTTATTCCATTCATGATTTTAATAAGCCTATTTGTCATTGATAATACAAACAAACGGGAAAGAGAACTATTTATCTCCTTGGGAGACCACAAATAGTGTAATTACAATGAAATGAGAAGCTGTCACTGTTCAGGCTGTGCATTTCATTTAATAATTACAGATCATTCTCAATCATAAGACAAGATGTCACTCGGCAGTCAGGGACAGGCTGCTCAAACCCTGTGTGTCACTTTGCATTCTACCTGCCCGGGAACACAATGTGTGCCTGTCTTACCTAAGCCAGTACATGATGTTTGCTTGTCCTACTTAATCCAGTACACAGTGTATGCGTGTCCCAGTATAAGGCATGTGTTTACCCTGCCTACCTAGTATGTATTGTGGTCTATCCTGCGTGGCCTCTTGAGCAGCGTGTGCTTACTAGGCAGTACTGTTGGGCTGTAGTTATCCTGTTCACCATGCTGGCTAGCGCCCCATACAATCCTCACTATATAGAATGCATACCTTAAGATACTTACTAGCTGAATCTGTGACTAAAAGCTGGGTGTTAATCAAGCCATCTTTGTTTCTGAATATATAACATTTGTTTTTTTAATCTTTAAATTACATTTGTTCATTTTGTGTATATGTGTTATGTGTAGGGAGGTATAGGCCTGCTTGTGGAAGTCAGAGTACAACTTGCCTCAGTTGGTTCTCTCCTTCCATGACGTGTGTCCAGGGAATCAAACTCAGATGCTCAGATTTGGTAGCAAGTGCCCTTTACCCACTGAGCCATCTGGTTAACTCTTACATTTAAATTTTAAAAAATGGTTTAAGCTGCCCTTCCCTTTATTCCAAATGGTATTTGTGATACACTTACTTCCATTTCATAAGAATATAGACATCATATTTCTGAACTTCCAAACGTGTTTTCTGAGGACAGCAATAAGAGAAGAACAGTTAAATCACCTTGAGTATGCTGTGAGCTTTCTTCTGGTCCAGCCATGGGGCTTGGGCTTTATCAGCCTACTAGCAGGACAAGCAGGGTTGAGCCTACAATCTCCCTCCTTTATCCCACTGATCCTTTTGTCCATGATGGTGCACATGAGCACATGTGTACAGCTGAGTGCCACACACATGACTCCATCAACATCATATGCCACAAAAGTCCTGCAAGATTACCCTGTAACCTCAGTATGGAGCCAGCTATAGCATCTAGATTTGTGTGTGCATACTTGTGTTGTTCATGCAATGACAAAATCATCTAACAATACATTTTCAGAGCCTGTCTCTGTCATTAAGGGACACATGACTGTATAACACAAAAATAAGTCCTCGTCGATCTTCCAAAGTGGTCAAAGGAGAGTCTTTTGATTGGATGCCAATTAACATTGCTACTATAGAATAAAATATTAGTAACTTGAAAGTAAGATGGCCATTTGCATAAGCTAAACCTTAGTAGTATGACTGAAGAGCCCTGTATACAAGCTGTTTAAGAGGGCCTCAAGAACCCCAGAGAGAAGCATAGTGCTCCTCACTGTTAAGTAGAGTGTAACAGTAGAAATGCCAGTGCCCAGCGTAAGCTGGGCATCTGCCTGGCCATGGAGACATGGGTAGCTGAGACTTGTTCTCAGCCCAACCTCTGGGGCTTTTTTCTCTCTTTATTTTAGCAAAGAAAAAAGAGAAGAGATTCTGAGGAATCAGGAGATTATGTGTTAAGGAGATTATGTGTTATGTGTTATGTGTCAAACCCAGGGCCTGGGCATGCTAGGCAAATACTCTACCAATGAGCCGATATCACCAACTATTATTCACCTCTCTGCATTTTTCCTAGTCACCCATCTATGGGAATTCCAGATCAGATCTTGTCCTGAATACATGAAACGGTGGACACAGAGCTGGGCATGTGGGCCCTTGTACCTGACCCTTTATTTAAGATGGCTCAGCCAGTAAAGGTGCTTGCCACCAAGCCTGACAACCTGAGTTTGATCCCTGTGCCCCACACAGTGGAAAGAGAGAACCAAAGACCACAAAATATCCTCTACCCACCACATGTATGCCAGACGGGGAGAGAGGGGGAGAGAGAGAGAGAGAGAGAATGAGAGAGAGAACTATGGATAGTGCTGTGTAATCTGACTGTTCCTTTCTGTTCTCCCTTGTCTGACAGCACCCTGGAAGGATATTATGTGGATGATGCCTTGCAGGGCCAGGGTGTTTACACCTATGAGGATGGGGGTGTTCTCCAAGGCACATATGTCGATGGTGAGCTGAATGGACCAGCCCAGGAGTATGACACCGATGGGAGGCTGATCTTCAAGGGGCAATACAAAGACAACATTCGACATGGAGTGTGTTGGATCCATTACCCAGTAAGCTGGCACCTATCGCTCTAAGGGAAAGGAATGTGTCTAAAGACAATGTTTTGACTTCTCATGATAAACAGTAAAATGTATTCACTGTGAAGCCATGGGTCAGTCGCTAGAGCTGAGAGTGTCTGATGCCCACCTACCTGCTGTGGTTCTCCATGACTTAGATGACTAGGCTTTAGATGGTTATTAATTATTCTTCTGACTCATAGCATATTCCTGAGTATTTACTCATCACTGGCACAAACTAGTTTTATTGTACCATTTATAAAGTAAAAGATAGGCTGGAGGGATAGCTCAGCTGTTAAAGGCTAGGCTCACAACCAAAAATATAAAGTAAAAGATAAGTTGCTTTTAACTCTATTGGCATGTAGAAGGAAGTGGTAGGATATTTCATTGTTGAAATACATATGAGGGATGGCTGGGTGTGATGACATGCCTCTAATCCCAGAATGTAGTAAGATCCAGGACAGCCAGGAGTATGCAGAGAGACCTTGTGCCAAAAAAAAAAAAAAAAAAAGGGGGAGGAGGGGAAGAGAGAGAGAGAGAGAAAAGAAATACTATGGGGGAGAGACAGGCTCTCACTGTGTAATCTGGCTGACCTCAAATGTAGTCTGTAGACCAGGCTGTCCTCAAACTCATAGAGATCCACCTGCCTCTGCCCCCAAGTATTGATATTAAAGGCATGCACCATCTCACCCAGCTGTTGCTTAATTTTATCTAGTCTCTTATAGTGAGACTGAATCCTTTTGGAGTCACTACACCACTGCAGCTGGATTTTTACAATCCCCTCACTATGAAGGTGTGTCATGGATTGTATTGCTAGCATTAAGATGATTTATCCTAACTTGCCTTTAAGTGTTTGGTAACAATGCTGGTTTTGAGTCAACTACAGCAAATAGATATGGCAAAGCCCATGGTTGGGAATTAATAACTTTTGTTTGCATTTCAAATACTCCATCTGTTGTTGATGAATTTAAAACTGTGTTTTGAAAGGAATAAACCTTCAGATATACTTTGTTTACTGTTTTATCATATCCAGAGCTTAACTGAAAATACCTTTTTGCTTACTCTGAATTAGTAAGAACAGACCAAGCACAGTGGTGCTTGCTGGAATCCCAGCATTTTCAAATGGAGGCAAGATGATCAAGAGTTCAAGGTCAGTCTCAACGACCTACAGAGTTTGAGGTCAGCCTGGGCTACATACATAGTAAAACTCTGTCCCAAAAAAGCAAATGATTACATGTAAAACAAGAAAAGTGATACCCAGCAAATGTACTTACACATTGTTATATTTCTTGATGTATTATTTGTGTATGAGTGTGCATGGTGTGTGGGAATGTATGTGTCATGCATATGTATGACAGGTGAGGATAATTTGTAGGATCCATCCCCAACTTTACATAGGTTCTGGGGCTTGAGCTCAGGTCTCCAGTCTTGTACAGCAGGCACCTTTCCCCCACCCCCAACCCCCTCCCTGAGCCATCTCACCAGCTCACATTGCTCTTTTTTGCTTTAAACAACATACACAACGTTCATACTTTTACTTTTTTCCAAGATTCATTTATTTATTTTATGTATATAAGTGCTGTATCTGCTTGAACGACTTAGTGCCAGATGAGGGCATCATATGTCACTGTAGATGGCTGTGAGCCACCATGTGGTTGCTGGGAATCAAACTCAGGACCCTGGAAGAGCAGCCAGTGCTCTTCCACTGAGCCATCTATCTTCAGTCCCACCCTATTATTCTTTAGAAACTGTTTAGGTGGCTCATCAGATAAGATCACTTGCTACAAATATGAGGACCTGAGTTCAAATCCTTGGAAACCAAGTAAAAAGCCTGTCTTGGTCACTTACGCACTCACAACACCTTTCCTGAGAATCTGAGGCTGGCACACCTCCAAGTTCAATGAGACCCTGCTTCAAGGGAATAAGGCAGAGACACAGAGCAGGGCATCCAATGTCATCCAAATACAGTTGTTTTTTAATTTTTGAGACAGGGATTTTCTACATATTCCTGACAGTACGGGAGCTCACTGTGTAGACCACTCACAGACATCCAACTGCCTCTGCCTCCCTAGTGCTAGGATTAAAGGAACACACACCACACTGTGCCCAGAAAACACAATCGTGTTTTTCATTGGTTAAACTTGGCACAGTTTACACACCTGTGGACCCAGCTACTAGGAGAGCCTGAGACAACTGGGCTTAAACCTGGGAGTTTGAGACTGGGGAAATGGATCAGCAGTTAAGAGTTGCTGATGTTCTATCATAAGGACTGGAGTTTGAATCTCAACATCCACACAAGGGGCTCCAAGGGATCCAATACCTCTCTGTCTGTCTGTCTGTCTGTCTGTCTGTCTGTCTCTCTCTCTTTCTCTCTGTCTCACACACACACACACACACACATACACACACACACACACACACACACAGAGAGAGAGAGAGAGAGAGAGAGAGAGAGAGAGAGAGAATTTTAAAAAGAAACTATACTCCAAGGGAAGAATGTGGCTACTCTTTGTCTTAAGACTTGCCCAAACATGCAAGTCTCCTCTTGTTCAGCTCTGATCCCTGAGATATCATTTAGGTGACTGTCTAGGTAGAAGCAGACAAGCAGATAGACAGGTGCCAAGGGATCTACAGGTCCAGAAGGCTGAGAGTGGGCTTCCAGAGTGGCCAGGCTGAGCTCCATGCTGCCTGTGCTGGGGAGCTACTGACATTTGAAAGAGGGAGTTGTCAGAAGAACGAGTGAAGCCCTGTGTAGGCAGAGGATGGGAGAGAGACGAAACAGGAATCCCAGAGCCTCCCACTCCCTGTCATTTTACTTCTGACTAGGATCAACCGAAGTCCTGTGATGAGATCCAAGGTACACTGAGACCATTCCTTGCATTCATCTCACTGACTGGAGCCAAATTTTGAAACTTAAAATATACAGCGACATTTTTGGGGAATATTTTGTGTTCTTTGTCAATTTGATACACATGTGTACAACATGTCTTCATCATATGTAACCCCAACTCTGCTTCCCAATCCCCCAGGTATCCCCAACATGTCAGCTCGAGTTCCCACCTTTATGTTCTTCTCTGTGTGTGTGTCTCTCTCTCTCTCTCTCTCTCTCTCTCTCTCTCTCTCTCTCTCTCTCTCTCTCATTTTGTTTCTCCAGACAGTGTTTCTGTTTAGTTTTGGAGCCTATCCTGGACTCACTCTGTAGACCAGGCTTGGCCTTGAACTCACAGAGATCCACCTATCTCTGCCTCCTGAATGCTGGAATTAAAGGCCTGCACCACCACCGCCCAACCTCTTTTCTCATTTTTTTATAATCCCGTGTCCAATAAGCACTGCTGCAGGTACGTAGGTGGGGCCAGCCACTGGAGTGCGGGCCACCTATCAGCTGCTATAGCAACATTTTGCCCTGTGGTCTTATCAAATACCACTTGGGAAGGAAGCATTGGGAAATAATTAGCTTTCAGAATAGTCAATGGCACCTGCTTTAAGTGTGGTATCGGATGACAGTAGAAGGGGCTGATTGCACCCTTCTGCTGTCTGGAGTCTGAATCAATAAAGAAATAGGCAGTAGTGTCAAGGACTGAATTGCTGGTTTTCATTGTAATACCTTTGGATTGGAGGCATGGTGTGAACCCAAAGCCACAACTGGCCTCTCAGTCCCTTCTGCTGCTAAAGCACTGCTAAAGCTTTTCTTGAGCAGGCTGGGGAGATGGCCCAGTGGTTAAAAGCAGTAGCTGCTCTTCCAGAGGTCCTGAGTTCAATTTCTAGCAACCACATTGTGGATCCCAATAATAAGATCTGATGCCCTCTTCTGGCAGACAGAGCACTAAAAGAAAGAAAGAAAAGAAATAAGCTTCTCTTGAGAGATATGGGACTTCTTGGGGTTGACAAGGCAGTGCCTAGGAACCTTGGGAGAGAGGGTAAGTGAAAAGTAAAACTGGACGCCAAAAGCTGCCTTTATTTTGTTAATCCCCACCAGCAGAGAAATGGGTTGTCAGCAAGCATTTGACCTGCCTTCTCACCAATCACAATAACGCCTCCTTCTGACAGAGGGAGCCAGTGAGCAGAAGAAACAAGGCAATGGCCTCTTCCCATTCAATACCCCTTGATAGAGCAATTGGGCCATGTTTGTGACATGGCAAGAATAAGGGTAGGAAAAACAGAACCATTCTCCCTGTCATACTTATAGGATCACTCTAAGAACCACGATAGAAATGTTGATGTTTTGGTTTTTGAGACTGAAGGGACCAGCTTCCCTTTTGGCAGCCATAACGGCCGAACACTTGCTTCTGTGACCTTGTCCTAGACACTAGAAAGTAACATGCCTGCCTCGTGACAAGGAAACAATCAGAAGTTAGTCACTAGAAAGTCAGATCCCTGTCTTGTGGCAAGGAACCAATCGGAAGTTAGCTGGTGGCGCTATGCTTTATGGCTCTGGGTGTGCTTTACGGACAACCGCACAGCAATGACACAGAAAGCATAGCAACCACCCTGAGAGGGCCTATGGGCCATAACAACCAGTTGACCAATCAACACAGGGCAAGCCCTCCAAGCCTGGAGGCACACCAATCCTGAGCCTGTGCATACCCCTAGACATTCCCCTTACACTGCCCTATAAAAATCTGTGCACAGCAGCTTCAAACTGTCTTTGCTATCCATCCACCATGGTGGGTGGATCAAAGACCCGAGCTAACATGGGGTTAGCTCGTTAAACTACAATAAAGTCTCATGCAATTTGCATCAAACTTTTGCCTCCATTCTGTGATTGGGGTGGCCGCAGTCCTGGGCTAAGATTCTGGAAGCCTGGGCTTTCCGAGGGTCTTACAAGACCATCTTGTGTGGCCCAGGCTGGCCTCAGATTCTCTGTGTAGCTGAGGATGACTCTGAACCCCCTACCTCTGCCTCCTAAGTTCCAGGGTTACAAGTGTCACCACCATACCCAGGTTGTTCAGTGCTGAGATTCAAACCCAGGGCCTGGCATGTGCTAGCTGAGTGTCCTACCAAAAGATGTCATCTGCAGCCCCACTAAGCCCTTTTGTTCTGTTTTGGTTTTTAACTTCCAATGCACTTTTTTATTTTAAAAGATTCATAACTTTAGAAAATCAAAGGATTTCTATTTTGTCAGTCCAAAGAAATAAATTCAACTTTTGAGGGAAAAGGCGAGAGGCCCTAAACACAGACTTCTGCTTCAAATGAGCAGGAACATGGTGGGTTCTGTTAGTTATGGCAGGTAAAAGAAGTACCCATGCTCTAACACTCTGAGGCTCAGCAGCAGCCTGAAGGCAGATCACACAGAAAGGTCATCCCCATTTACACTGCATTAGTAAGAATTAACTTCAGAAGGACAACAAGCAACAAGTGTCACCCTACTGGGCTTCCTGCCTATGAAAAATAATGCTGTGTGTTTTTCTTCAAAAGTTCCGAATTTTAGTTTATGTGGTGAGCTATGCAAATTGTAATGCTTGTGTAATGTCACTTATTGCTGTCTCAGTAAGCAGCACTGAGGGTCACCCTGAATTGCTGCCTTGAATAGCTGTTCCCAGATACTAGAGTGAGGACATTATCCAAGCTACCCCACGTGCCATGGTATCAAATTGTTTAGCAAGCTTACAAAGGACTTAGATTGGTAAGTTACGCAGTTAGGACTTCCAGGGGAGGGGCCCATCTCTTGCATCTTAAACGAAATTAGCCATAATGCTGTGGGTATCCTAGTTCAACTAAAAGGTGTCTGTGAGGTGGCTTCATGAATAAAGGTGTTTGTCACTAAGCCTGGCAGTGTGATGGGTCCCCTGGAATCCACGTGGTGGAAGGAGAGAACTGACTTCTGCAAGTTGTCCTCTGACCTCCACACATGCACCATGGCACGTGCTCACCCACACAGATACATGCGCATCTACAGGAACATACACACAAAATAAAAGTATCAGGTATTTGTGAGTCACCTGCTGTGACCCAGCACTTAGTGGGACATAGAATTCCGGTAGCATTTGTCCTGTGGAATGAAGCAAAGCTGGCCCTTCTCTGGGAGGGAGGCTGGAGAGCCGAAGATGAAGAATGAAAGGAAGAACTGATGTGGGAGACACAAGGGCCTTTGTTTATCACTCGGAAAATACAAGCAATTCTATTTTTAGTTGGGTAGACCAAATTAATTCTTAAGTACATTTAAAGGCATAAAGATTTAGCTCAGAGGTAGAGTGTTTAGCATGTACAATCCTGAAAGGTCCTGGACTCTGGGTTCACCCCAGTGCTGCAAAAAGGAAAAGAAAAAGAAAAAGAAAAGCACATTTTAACTGAAGTTTGTTTTTCATTTGTTTGTTTTTCTCTCTATGTAGCCCTGGCTGTCCTAGATAGATTAGGCTGGCCTCAAACTCACGGAAATCAGAGATCCGCCTACCTCTGCCTCCATAGTGCTAAGATTACAGGGTGTGTGCTGTAATATATTTGTGATATAGTTATCCTATAATATATTTCCCTTAATATATTACAGGTGTGTGCTTAATTATATTTCCCTTAAATGTCTGCAAGTCTGTTCTGATAATAATGTGTTTGTTTCTTAGATAACACACCAAACTAGAGTGCCAGTAACTAGTCCAGAATTACAAAGTAAATTTCAGTCTCCTAACCTAAATGAGGCATGCATGTTCCAGTGCATAGAACATTCCAGAAGTGTATTTACATGTAGTAAAGGTACTACCTGCAGAGGCATGAAGAGTCTCACTCTTCTCAAAAGCTCTGGATTCTTATACCGTTATTGTCGGTGTCAGTATTCTTCACAGAGCGCATTTCAGAAAACGAACTTCTTAAACTCACATCCCATAGATGAATATTTTACACAATATCTCCAGTTGTGGTTTCTCCCACCAGGATGGAGGCAGCCTCGTTGGGGAAGTCAATGAAGATGGGGAGATGACTGGAGAGAAGATAGCCTATGTCTACCCTGATCAGAGGACTGCACTCTATGGAAAGTTTATTGATGGAGAGATGATTGAGGGGAAACTGGCCACCCTCATGGCTACTGAAGAAGGGAGGCCACACTTTGAACTGACATCTGGAAGTAAGTTGTCCAGTGGGTGACAGGTTAAAGAGGTTTCTTTTTTCGGGGGGGGGGGGGTTGTTTTTCAAGATAGTGTTTCTCTGTGTAGCCCAGTTGTCCTGGAACTCACTAGGTAGGCTAGGCTGGCCTTGAACTCCCAAAGAACTTCCTGTCTGTGCTTCTATAGTACTGGGATTAAAGGTGTGCACCACATTGCCCTATGATGAGGTTTCTTTCTTTCTTTCTTTCTTTCTTTCTTTCTTTTCCTCTGTGGAACCCACTTTAATGGAGTGTCAGCCAGCTTTTGCCAAGGAAAAAACAAAAAACAAAAAACAGATCCCCCGCCCTTAACCCCTCCCTGTTTATGGCAGCAACCACAGGTCTGCTGTGTCCCAAGGTTCAGCCAGTCTAGGCTAGTCTGTGTCTTACTCTGGGGTCCAGTCTGAAGGCACAGAGGCCACTTTGGACAATGTTTTCTCAAGTGGACTACAGATGTGTCAGCATATAAGCAGATACCAGTGGTGCCTCCTAAAGCCTCACCCTGGAACTTTCCCCCATTTGTGTTGCAAGTCACAGGACAAAGCCCAGCATGAGTGAGACAGAGAAACTATAGCATGTACTTCAGTGAGATATGCTAAGAAGTCCCATGAGAAGGCATCCATAGGTGACTCTAAGTAGGTACAGGACTAAGAAGTGACAGGCAATGCAACCAGTTTCAAATATCTGTATCTCTAAAACATGGAGTCATCATTTTTATGTTACTAAAGAATCAAATGAGATAGACTTCAAAATCGGTATAAATTGTATAGCTGATTAAGCCAAAGATAGCTCTGAGGCTATAGGAGCTTGCTTCAAAGGCTGATAACCTGAGTTCAATCTCAGGGACCTACATAGTGAATGAGAAGTGTCAACTCCTGAAAGTTGTACTCTGACTTCATACATGCATCACACACAGACACACACACTCACAGAGAGAGAGAGAGAGAGAGAGAGAGAGAGAGAGAGAGAGAGAGCACATATGCATGAACAAACACATATAATAAATGTAAAACCCCTTTTAATAGTTAACTTTAGGAGAAATAGTGGGAACAGTATTTCTTTCTTTGAATTTTTCTATGTATTTACTGTTATTCCAGGGTCTAGGGAGATATAGTTCGGTTGACAAAGTGCTCATCATCTAAGCTTAAATACCAGGGTTCAGTCTCTAAAACCTATCTACATGGCACTGGAGATCCCTGGAGCCTAGTAGCCAGCACCAGGCTGAGAAACCCTGTCTAAAAAAACAAGGTGGCTGAGCTGTCGTAATGCACACCTTTAATCCCACTCAGGAGGCAGAGGCAGACAAATCTCTGAGTTTGAGGCCAGCCTGGTCTACAGCCAGGGCTACACAAAGAGAAACCCTGTCTTAAAAAAATAAAATAAAATAACCAAAGTGAACAGAACCTGAGGACAAAACCCTGAAGGTTGTCTTCACATACAACATCGCTGGCATTCATAACAACACACAGACACACAGACACACATGTTTAAATTAATTCATTTAATCCTAAAATGAAGTTCTTTTGTAAAAAATTTAAATTAAAAAAAAAAAAAAAACCCTAAGCTGGGCAGTGGTAGTACACATCTTTAATCCCAGCACTGAGGAGACAGATGCAGGCAGATCTCTGTGAGGTCAAGGCCAGCCTGATCTACAGAGAGTGTTCTAGGACAGCCAAGGCTATATATGGAGAAATCCTATCTCCAAAAACAAAAAAAAAGAAAAGGAAAAAGGAAAGGAACTCTCTCACAGGTGCACCTAGCCGCCTAGGTCTTAGTTAATTCCAAATGTAGTCAAGTTGGCAACCAAGAATAGCCGTCACACTATCCTTTGTATTCCTCTGCCTGCTTCTTCTGCAGGCAGCTGCTCCTTTCCCCCGGCTCCTGTGTATCTATCTGACTTCTGAGTTTGTTTAAACCCTCACGAGGCTGCTATCTGCACATGCATTATGGGGCCAGGGAAGAACACACTCCACCTCCTCTCCCATCCCCAGCTTAGTGGGCAGGAAGCTTCCTGCTCTCGTCCACTTGTAGATTCTTCCTGGCTCTCTGTTTGACTTCATGGCTCTCCTGTCTCCTATATAACCAAGTCCCTTTCCTCCTGAAATACTCAAGTGGTCTGTTTCCTAGGCAGTCATTGACTGGTTTGGACCATTTTCTAACTTAGGTTTGAGGAATTCATTTAGGTTTACATTGTATTTTGAATAACAGGAAAGGGGTCTGGTAACCATGGTGATTACAGAAGATTGATGGGATGGTTAATGGTGTCAGTGCTAAAAATGATTGGCTTTGCAGGAGTTCACTCTCTGGTTCCAAATCTTGTTTGTTTATGAACACTCAGAGAATCCTACATCCCTTGTGCCCTGTGAGGATTTGCCAGGGTCAACAGAAAGCCCCCAGTAATTCTAGGACAGTTGCATACCTTGTCATGGGGACTGATTACCAATCAGGTTCTGAGCCACCATGACTCTTAATGCAGCCTGGAGAGCTGTTGTTCTCCATACTCTGTGAGGGTGAGATTACTCTCACCAAAGGAGTCACCTGATGGGCTCGGCTGTACAGTTTACAGACTGTCCGGTAGGGAGAAAACCTCCAAGAAATTTCAAAACTAAAGTCCAGATTACTCTGACCATAGAAACCTGAAAATTCTGTGACAACGTGTTTTGCTTAAAGTTTTAAGTACACAAAAATAGTTTAAGACATTTGAATAAAGGAAAATCAACAAATAGGAATCTTAAGTGTTTAGTCTGGTGGTGGCACATTAAGACTTAAATAAACAAGTCCTGGTAAATGTGGGCCTGTAATCCCAACCCAGAAGCCAAGCTGGGCAACTTGGGAAGATCCTATCTCACTAAGAAAAAAGAAAAAGGGCAAGATTTGAGAACATAATCAGAGAGTAAACCTGGCAAATGCCCACTTAGCTCTTCTAGCTGCCATAACCAGAATGGCGCCTGTGACTGTTTGGATGATCCTGTGACTTGGGAGCCATGTCTGCACCTAAACTGACATGTTGGTTTGCCTTTTAGGTTCCGTGTACCACTTTGATAAATCGACTTCCTCCTGCATCTCTAGTGATGCTCTCCTTCCAGACCCTTATGAGTCCGAGAGGTAACTCTTTCCTTGTGGCGTTCATTGTACTGTTTATGCCCTGGTGGTGGCCACTCGTGAGCTTCTGCTGCTCTCTGCTCAGGCTGGGCTCCTGCTCAAGCCAAGCCCCTCCATAAGGAAGTATTTGTGTATTCTGAGGAAGACTAATTATATTCTTATATAGAGGCTGTCCACAGAAGGTTTCTAAGTTAGCAAGAAGGTCCGTCTCTCGTCCTAGAATGACCTCTCGAGGTAAAGCTTTGGGTCAGACAGCCTTTCTCGGGACTCTGGGAAGTTGGAGAAGCATGCAGGTAGAAATCAGAGAACAACTTTTAAAACTGTTTTTTCCTTCCACCATGTGGAAAAGGCTCAATCTTACAAGCAGGCGCTTTTGCCCACTGCAATCTTCCAGGCCCTCTCAGGGTTCTTGATGAGACAGTCTTCTAGGGGAGCAACCCATGCTCTTTCAAGTCTAGCCTACACCTCCAGCACAACTCCTTTTCTCTGTAGCCTGACCTTTGGAACACTAAGCAACTTCTTTATTCATAAGGGAAGACAGGATATAAGCAAAGGCAGTAATGGCAAGCGTAAAAGCATCCCTCCATGTCAGGTCTGTCCTTTCTAAGCGTAAAAGCATCCCTCCATGTCAGGTCTGTCCTTTCTATACCTAACCTATGAGGATGGCTGCCCTCTAACGTGAATTCTAAGTGCCCAGAATTCTCCTTCGACTGGTTGGCTGAGTAAGGACAGCCCCCGGGGGCGTGGCTTACCTCTTGTTTACTTTCTGCTCCCATCTGAGAAACAAGCTTCTTCCTGGTCTAAATGACAGCACTGATCCCACAGTGCCACAGGCAGGGAGAGAATGTCCTCATTTTTAACGAGAGGTTCTGGCCCAGGGCCAGTGGGTGTAGACTGGCTTCTGTGTTCGCCCCAAAACACCACAAGCCCAACTGAAATCTATCAATCTAGTCTGTTGTGAAATCCTGTATAGCAATACTCTGAAACTGCTTAGCTGTTTACCGAGGTCGGTGTTTTGTTATACTCATGGTTCTGTGGGTAGGCTTAGGTTCAGCCATCTTTACTTGGTTTTCACCAGGCTCAGCCGGATTAGGCTGGGCTCCAGGATTCAAGTTGGGTTCAGGTCTGTTTCACATCTCTTCATTCCAAGACTCTGGCTAAAGGAACAACAATTCCCAGGATATATTCTTCTCCTGGAGACAATAGAAACTGGCAGAGACTGGCAAAAACTCACCATGTCTCTCAACACCTGAGACCCAGCAGCAAGGCCCTCTTCCATGTCCAGCTAGCAGAGTCAGCAGGGTGGGGATGTATGCCCCACCTGCACCTAAAGAAGTGTCATGAGGTCACCTGGCAAAGGGGTGACATGTATCATTCTGTCACTAGAGAGGAGCAAGCAGAATTAAAAGCAATAATTCAGATTTCCAGTCCATAAAATAAGCCAAAATTACAGATGCTCACCTCCTAACAGGGCCATCCATCACAGTGCACAAAGAAACGAAGAGATTAAAGATTTGTTGGTAGAACATAAGCTCTTATTACCTCCATTCCACAGCCAAGGATGCTTTTCTTTCTTTCTTTTTTTTGGGGGGGGGCGGGTGTTTCAAGACAGGCAAAAATTCACCAGAGCTACAGAACTAGCTCTGTAGACCAGGATGGCCTCAAACTCACAGTGATCCACCTGCCTCTGCCTCCTGAATGCTAGGATTAAAGGCATGTGCCACTACTGCCTGACAGGATGCTTTTCTTATAAAGCAATGTTTAGGAAACTTTTTCTATGGAAGAACACCAAGTAACAATTCAGGAGCTTACAGACCCTGTATTATCTATTGTACAGACTCAGCCTCTGCCTTTGACACAGTCTTAAACAAACTGGGGAAGGCAGCTGTGCCTCAATAAAACTTTATCAACAAAAATGGGCAGCAGTCAGATTTGACCTGTAGTTAACTGACCTCTACTTTAACCCCTTTGTTGAGAAATACTTGTTGGATATATCTCATTAACTGTCATTTTTTTTTTGTATAAACATCTTGGCTTTAACCAAACAATAGTCTTCCTCTGTCATCTGAGAAATTTGAGCACAGTGTTAATAAACTTTGGAAAATGTTTTCTTGTCATTAACTATAAACATTAGCTTCCTTTTCAAAACGAATATCAAGTACTGTGCTGGCTGGTTTGTATGTCACCTTGACACAGGCTAGAGTCATCAGAGATGAAGGAACCTCAATTAAGGAAATGCCCCCATAAGAGCCAGCTATAAGATCCCTGGAGGGCTAGAGAGATGGCTCAGAGGTTAAGAGCACTGGCTGCTCTTCCAGAGGTCCTGAGTTCAATTCCCAGCAACCACATGGTGGCTCACAACCATCCATTATGAGATCTGGTGCTCTCTTCTGGTGTGCAAAAGTAGAATGTTTTATACATAATAAATAAATAAATAAATAAATAAATAAAAATCTTTTTCAAAAAAGAGCCCTGGAACTGAAGTTGCAGATGGATATGGGATGCCATGTAGGTACTGGGAATCAAACCCAAATCCTCTGGAAGAACAGCCATCTCTCCAACCCTGGAAAAGACATTTGAGGCCTGGGGCTGGAGCTCAGTTGATAGAATGCATACTTAGCATTCATAGAGTCCTAAGTTTGAGCTCCAACACCACAGAAAACTGGGCAGGTTCAGAAGTCCCTAGTTATCACCAGGTGGTTGTTGCCAGGCCCAGTGACTCACACCTTTAATCCCACACTCGGGAGACAGAGGCAGGAGGCAGATGCTGTGAGTTTGAGGCCATCCTGTTCTACAGAGAGAGTTCCAGAACAGTCAGGGCTACACACAGAAACCCTCTCTCAAAAAAAAAAAAAAAAAAAAGATGACCAAGTTCCTGATTGTCGTTGACTGCAGAGCAAGTCTGAGGCAGATACCCTGAGCCAGATACCTGAGCTAAAGGAGGTGGTAGAGGTCGTTTTGAATACAACTCTTAAAGAGATAAAAGTTATTTCTTCCATGACTGTTACCAACATACTGTGGTTTAATTTCTTACCCTTGCTTCCTTCTTTGTTGAACAACTGGGAACTGTCCTTTGGGATTTAGTAACCATAATGGAATTGTAGTGATTGACATCAACACTGTCACATCACACTGGGAAACTCACATTTCATTTATTATTTATTTATTTATTTATTTTAGGGTTTATGTTGCCGACTCTCTCATCTCCAGTGCTGGAGAAGGACTATTTTCCAAGGTAGCAGTGGGACCCAATACTGTAATGTCTTTTTATAATGGAGTCCGAATTACACACCAAGAGGTAAGTGGAAAGAGGTGAACGTCGACCTAGCTGACTAAAGGGTTTAACTAAAGGCAGAAACAAACATGGGGAACCCTGGGTAAGGACATTGAGGTTGCTCTCTGGCCTCCCCAAATGTATTTGTGGCACATGCACCACCTCTCGCCTTTAAGACAAAGTCTTTAGCATATTTTAGAGCTTCATAAATGGCTCATCCTCATCCTGTAGCTGACTCCTCGGTGTCTGTCTAAGGGCCAGTCTGCACCCCCAGCACAATCACGGTCACACTTTTAATAAATATACAGGGCTCAGGCTCATTGCTGATATCTCACATCAGGTCTCCACATTGTCACTTATTCCTGTGGATAATAAGAGAACGTTCCACGAAATGTTCCAATTAGTCACACATTCAAAGCAACTGGGCAGGGGAAAGACAACAAAATGCTCAGGTGGAGCAGATGGCATCCACACAGGTGGCCGTACTTCACCAGCCCTCCAGAAGGCCCAAGACACTCAGCAGAGAAGGGTGGATTTGGGATAAGGGTGCATTACAGGTGGAGTGCCCCTTAACTGAAATGCTTGGAACCAAAAATGTTAGCAATCTGGTGTTTTTAGATGCTTGCATTTTTATAATCATCTTAGGAATGGGACCATAGTCTAAATGAAATTTAGTGTTTCCTGTGTACATAGCTGGGAGGCAATTAGTCTATATTTTTATTGTGTCTGCATTTTGCCTGTGACCTGTCATATGGGGTCAGGTGCGGCTTCTTCCAATCGTATATCAGCCTCGAAAAGTTTTGAATTTGGAAGCATTCTAGACTTTTAAATATTAAACCGTGCTTCTTCATTCATACATTTTGCAGATGAGAAAATGAAAACCTAAAGAGATTAAGCAATTTGCCCAAGATCACAAATGCAATAAGATGGACAGTTCAAGTAAGGCTAGCATTTGCTGCTGTGTGATTCCTACACCCTTTGCACACAGTGAGGTTTAGATTCTGCTATATACCTAGTACAGCTTAAAGCAAACAACACTCCACACAGCCTATCAGTTATGTGGTTACATGATAGCTTGGGAATAATGAGACCTAAGGGGAACTTTCTCATGTTTGATACTGCTGCCTGTGGCAGCTACCCATTTTATTGACTGTCATGCATAAATGTAATGTATAGGAAGAAGGGTTGATTTATCTAGAAGTGTCCATCCTCTGAACCACAGGCTACATGGGGCCAAGGATGTCTACAGACATAGCCTAACACAAAGTTGTAAGTTTATTGAAAACTTAAGAGAGATTGTTTTGTTTTATTTTTAAACTCGATTGTTTGGCTCACAAACATGAATTGTAGATGACAGTTGTGTCTCACTGACAGAAGGTTGAACATGCCTGCTACATTTACAAGTTCTACAAAAACTTGATCCTTTTTATAAGAGCCATTAGGCTATTCTGCTGACCTCCCAATGTCCAACCTGAAGAAGCCAATTGGTTATGCTATAGACCATGAATCCTAGCATAGGTAGGACTCATAGCACGCTGGCTTGGAGACTGCCTCCTACTCACCCTGACTCCTCCAGTGAAGCAGAGGTGTGGGACTTTTTATAGAAAAAATTTTAAATACACTGATGGAACTGGGAGTTGTTGGTGTACACCTTTAATCCCAGCACTTGGGAGGCAGAGGCAGGTGGATCTCTGTGAGTTCGAGACCAGCCTGGTCTACAAGAGCTAGTTCCAGGACAGCCTCCAAAGCCACAGAGAAACCCTGCCTCGAAAAACTAAAAAACTAAAAAAAAAAAAAAAAGAAAAAAAAAAAAGAAAAACATGATGGTTAGGCAGTGGTGCATGCCTTTAGTCCTAACACTCAGGAGGCAGAGACAAGCAGAACTCCAAGTTCCAGGCCAGCCTGTTTCTACAGAGGGAGTTCCAAGGCAGCCAGGACTACACAAAGAAACTCTGTCTCAGGGAATAAAACATTTATTTATTTGGAAGATCAAGAGTGGAGGTCAGAGGACAACTTCCAGGAGTCAGTTCTCTCCTCTGACCATGTGAATTCTGTGGACTGAACACTCAGACAGTCTGTCTTGGTAGTCAGCGCCTGAACGCACTGAGACATCTCAACAGTCTCTTCTTCATTTATTTTTAGTTCAAGTTTATCTGATATTTTTGTGTGTCTTTGTAAAGAATCAAAATCCTTTTCTTCTATATAAAATGAGGAAAATACAATAAGCAGTAAGTTGAGCTGTCTGGTTGCGCCATCCTTGTGTGGGAAGATGTCTTGGCTGGCTTTCATGTCTGCAGTGCTCAAACTATGAAGTGCTAAGATAAATGAGTTTGTGCCTCTGCTGTGCATTGAGCTTCTGTGAGAAAGGCCTTCTCTAGCACCACTTCCCTGTGTTCTGCAGGTCGACAGCAGAGATTGGGCCCTGAATGGGAACACTCTCTCCCTTGATGAGGAGACAGTCATTGATGTGCCTGAGCCCTATAACCACGTATCTAAGTACTGTGCCTCCTTGGGACACAAGGCGAATCACTCCTTTACTCCAAACTGCATCTATGACATGTAAGTAGGATGCTAGTGACTGGATGGATCTATGCCTAGGGGCCCCAGGACCCAGGAGGGCATGGGAAAAGTGGCCCATTTGCCATGAGCCTCAGCTTTGTCGTCTAAGGTTCAAGATCTAAACAGCCTGCTTTCTAGCTTTGAGATGAAAAGGTGATTTCAAAAGCAGAACTATCATAGAAATATGTTTTACTGCTGTCCTTATTTGCCCTTTTTTTTTCTCATTTAAAGATCGCATTGCAGGACTGGGGTGGGAAGGAGGAGTTATCATCCAAGTGTTTGCTGCACCAGCATGAAGACTTGCGTTCAGTCCCCACCCAGCACCTATATAAAAAGCTGAATGTGGGGAAGGGCACTTAGAATCTGAGCACTGAGGAAGCAGAAACAGAACGAAAGCCTGGGCCACTAATCAGGAAGTTCCAGGCCAATGAGAGACCCAGGCCCCAAAACAAGGTGGATGCTGTTTGAGGACCACACCTGAAGTTGGCCCTTAGCCTAGACACACACACACACACACACACACACAATAGATATAGCAGCGTAGCATGGTCATAGAGCATCTCTTCCCTGCTTCGTGCCATAGCTTCAGTCCTCTGCTGTGCAAGATCACACTCTGGGCATTTCATCTGAGACCTTGCCAGGATCTGGAGCTTGCTGGGAAATGTCCTGAGACTCGTCCTTGAGATGCCCTGGAAATGGTCCTGGCAATGACTAGCTCTCCTTGGCAGCCAATAATAAGTATTGGTGCTCCAGCTGCCTCTAAAGGGCTGGCTGAAATGGCAAAGGACATGTGTCATGTGAAATGAGACTGACACTGTGAAAGCTTCGGGGCTTTCACAGCTAGTGTGCATTTGGCTGACACTCATTCTCAGCTGTGCTGGCATAAACAATGGTCTCTTAATGCCTGTAACTAACCACCCTAAATACCACTCAGACCCTTCATTTGAATCAAGCCTGTCTGTGACTTCACTGCAAGGACAGCTCTTCTTCCAAACGCAATAGAGAACTGGAAACAAGAGAAGTTTTTGTTGTTCAAAATCAGTTTCTGCTCAGCAGGCTTTACTTTTGATTTTTCTGTTTGTTTTCTTTGTTGGTGGTGGTAGTAGGGTTTTTTGGTTGTTTACTTGCCTACTTGTTTGTTTGTTGGGGGGGGGGGGTCCGAGACAGGGTTTCTCTGTGTAGCCCTGACTGTCCTAGAACTCACTTTGTAGGCCAGGCTGGCCTCAAACTCATAGATCCTGCCTCCTGGGTGCTGGGATTAAAGGCATATGCCTCCACTGCCTGGCTGTTTTCTTTCTTTTGTTGTTAGTATTTGTTTTGCAAGCCCAGCATGGCCAAAACTCACTTATATGGGGTAGTGACTCCTTGAATAATAACCAAATGCATACTTCAGATCCAAGTTCCTATCATCTGTGTGTTTTCTCAAGTCACTGGCATTAGTATATGCATTAATGTAAGTGAAACAGCACTTCTTTATGCTGCTTGCACGGAAGTCTGGCATGAAATGCCCAGTGGACAATAACACAAGTACTTCCCTACCTGTAAATATGGTAGCATGTCAACTAAGGTCCCACAGGTTTGGGGTCATTGCTACTTCTGTAGCCAAGGCCTCTGATCATTCTTTCTGGGTCCTGCTCTCCCTCCGTCCCCTCATCCCTTCCTTCTCTTCTTCCTTCCACGAGGGTTAGAGATTGAACCCAGGGCCTCACACTGCTAAACTCATACTCTGTCCATGTACCCTAGCCCTACTCTGGATGCCTTACATGTTTTGTCTCAGTCTGTCCTCCCAGGAATTCCCAGTCAGGCCTCAGCTCTGGAAGGAAAGTGGCCCAGTGCAGTGTGCACTGACTGCCCTGGGCAAGCCTTAACATCTGAAACCAAGTTCTTTCTTTTTATTCTGTCTACCCAAACTAATAATGTGCTGGGTGTGGTTATGCCCACCTGTAACCCCAGCTCCTGAGGCAGGAGGAGAATGAGTTCCTTAATCCCAGTGCTGGGAGGCAGAGGCAGGAGGATCTTGAGTTTGAGGCCAGACTGGTCACACAGAGAAACCCTGTCTTGAAAAAAAATTTTTAATTTAATTTAAAAATAAACAACAACAAAAAACACATCAAAATGAAAAGATGACAGGTGACAATGAACATGAGAATAAAGCTATAAGAACATTGGAAAAGAAGTCTTAAGCCCAAAATTTCAACATCAGATTCCCCTCCCTCACGCCAGTGGATGTTCCAGAAAGTTAATCAAAGCTCCATTTCAGGAGCATTATTTCATTTTCATACTGAAATCATATGATGCAAATTATAATGAAGCATGTCAGCTTAAAGACAAAATTCCCTGGCATGGTAGCTCAGGTCTTTAATCTTAGCCCTCAGGAGGCAGAGGCAGGTGAATCTCTCTGTGTTCAAAGCAAGCCTGGTTTACCTAGTGAGTTCCCAGCAAGCCAGAGCTACACAGTAATACACTTCTGTCTTAGTTAGGGTTTCTATTGCTGTGAAGAGACACCATGACCACAGCAACTCCTACAAAGGAAAACATTTCACTGGAGCTGGCTTACCGATCAGAGGTTTAGTTCCTTGTCATCATGGCAGAAAGCATGGCAGCATGCAGGCAGACATGGTGCTGGAGAGGTAGCTGAGAGTTCTACATTCATATCACAGGCAGCAGAAAAAAAGAATGACACTGGACCTGGCTTGGGCTTCTGAAACCCCACTGATGTACTTTCTCCAACAAGGCCACATCTCCCAGTAATGCCACTCCCTGTGAGCCTATGGGGGCCATTTTCATTCGAACTACCATGCCTGTTTATAGATAGATACACAGATAGAAGATAGATAGATAGATAGATAGATAGATAGATAGATAGATAGATAGATAGATAGATATACAGACAGACAGACAGACACATACATGCATGTATAAGTACATACATACAGAATTGTGATCCTGTGGTGCTAGCAATCAAAATCAGGGCTTTTTACATGCCAGGCAAGTGCTCTACCACTAGCTATATCCTCAGCCAAAAGCCACAATAACCAAGAATTCCTGAGTGCATGGTCAGGACACTTACTTCCACAAACAGAGAAGACAGCCAAATGCTTAGCCCCATCAGGCCACAGAGACCGATATGGTTTAAAGCTGGCTCCTTCCCATTTGATGTGTCCTCTGTCTTACATTCGTCATGGGGATCTAAATGCAGACACGGTCTAGCAAAATGCCTCCACAGGTAAAGGCATTCACCAAACCTGAAGACCTGAGTTTGATCCCCAGGACCCACATAGTGGAATTTAAAACAGAATATTATATATCCGAGGTTGGCTTCAAACTCATTATGAAACCAAGGATAACCTGCATTTCTGATTCTCCTAGCCCACCTCCTAACATATACACCACCATGCCTGGTTTATGAAATACTGAGAGAGCCCAGGATCCCATGCATGCTAAGTCAATGCTCTACCAACTGAGCTACATCTCCAGCCTGCCTGGAGTGTTCTAACCCAGCAGATCTGGGGCTAGGGCTGAGACACTCCTCTTACAAGCTCCAGCTGAAGCTGATAGAGCTTTACCCATACTCTAAGAACACAGGAGTGATGCCTGTGTATATGGGTGAGATGTTCCCCTTCGCCCCTGAGGTCCTGTGTTGGCACTGTAATGACCTTTCTCATCTTGATGCTTAGGTTTGTCCACCCCCGTTTTGGGCCTATCAAGTGCATCCGCACCCTGCAAGCTGTGGAGGCTGAGGAAGAGCTGACCGTTGCTTATGGCTATGACCACAGCCCCCCAGGGAAGAGTGGTCCTGAAGCCCCTGAGTGGTACCAGGTGGAGCTGAAGGCCTTCCAGGCCACCCAGCAAAAGTGAAAGACCTGGCCCTGGGGTCCACAGACCTGGAATAGAAACTTGGATCTATGCACTACATTTATCTGACAATGGGACAACCAGGGACTGTTCATGCTGTGACATCACATCCTCTCACCCTGCGTTAGCAACGACTTTCTCGCGTACTAACTAGGTTTGACTGTATTACTCATACCAGATTTAAAATTAGCTAGCCTTGCAGCAACGCCCTACTGAGAGGTACTGTCGAACTGTAGACAGCATGATGTTCTTTGATGATTGAAGTCTAAATCTGGACCACGTTCAGAGATACCAAATGATTAGGCTGAAAAAGGGAAATGGGATTCTTCAGTCATTTTTCATCGAAGGTTTTTTTTTTTAATGATGTTTTTTCTATGGCTATTGCAAATGGTGTTCGATCACCCTTGCATGTTGCCACCTGCAGGGTTGGAAGGATTATTACATCTTTATATAAATGTAGGGTCATTTGCCTTTTAACCTTTGATCTGTATCTTGCAATAGAATGGCTTTGTTTTTGTTGTTACTCTTCTAGTGAATCAAAGCCCAGGCTTTTGAGTCTTTTCTTTAGCCTCACTCCCTATCTTAGCTATCCTTTACAAGAGAAAGCTTCCAAATGGATTTTGCATTCATAGCAGTGTACAGGTCTCTCTGGTTCTTTCTCTATCATTTCATTCTTATGTCCTGATATAAAGAACTGGCTCATAGGGCCAGACTGTTGTTATAGACTTATTATTCTCGCATGTAAACAAAGATATCTTTGCTTTCAGATGTGAGAAGAAATGAATTTACTTTGTTTGCATTAAGTTACAAAAGAGTTGTAAGATATACTTTCAGGAAGAAGAGAGGAAAATTAGTATTTCTAAGCAGTCATTGTGGCAATTTTGCAGTATATTCAGTAGTGCTGGCAATTTTTTCTCCTCTGGTACCCATTCATTGTACATAACCTAGTGCAGTCTGGCTTGTGACACAGCTCATGGAATTCAAAATATGATAGTCAATGTGCATTCCAAAACAGAATGCAGAATTCTCTTTAAAATCAGTGCCAGGAAGACAGACATGCTGATTACTAGGTGTAAATCAGATCTGTAGCTAAGCTTTTCACCACAGTGATCTCCAAGCACTTAACTGCTTCCAGGCTCTGTAAGCCACAAGTTCACACCTGTGCAGTTTCTATCAATAATAGCATATTGCCACCTCGTAAGCCATATGTAATCACAGCCACAGGAATACAGAGAAAAGCCCACTATTTTAGTTTAGCACATTAGATCTATTACCTAACTGGATTGCTCTGAATGAATTCTGGGGTTGGGGGACACCTCCCCCAAGGCGTCGCTCCATCACCAGAAAGCCTAGGGACAACAGTTGCTGAAGCCTGTCACTGTCAACAGTGCTACCTGAGAGGCCTGGGTGGGTTTAGGCTTTTGAGGGAGCTCAAAGTTCATAGAGATGCTTGCCAGGAGCAGGTAGAAATGGAGAGAGGGGATAGGTAGAGGGCAGTTTGCTCTTTTTGTCAGTTGCACATTGCTCTTAACAACAGCTTTCCCAAATGATCCCCATCAAACAGCCCCAGAATGGAGGACTCTGCCCTCAGCTATGATAGCCACACCCTGGGCTCTCAAGCTTCCTGACACACCCAGCTTCAGTCTCTGCACTTAGGTGGTGGTACTTTCCAGGAGAGCTGGTCACATCACTGTTTGAAAGCTTAAGAAGATAATTCACTCAGGAGAAATATCCTCAGAACTTCTAAGGAGGTCTCCTGCAAAATGACTGAATCATTTTTAAACTACAAGTCAACCAGGATAGGATTGCTTCTATTCTGTAGAAAGAGACTGTTTAGTAAACTGTGACAGAAGGATGGGGTCTGTGGATTTGAATTCTGAGAGGTGCTTTCGTGTAAATGTGTCCAAAGAGAGTTGGCTGCCTTCGGGAAAAAGATGGCTTCCTACAGCTCCATCAGTCAGGTTGTTGGACGAGGTTGAGAGATGAGGCAGAGGGAGAGAGGTCAGGCCCCACCTTGGGTGGTGTGCCCACACCTGGAGACAGAACCTAGTCTCAGCTGCAGTGGGGGCTCAACTTGTATCTTAAAGGGCTACTCTAGCAATCTCATTCAAATGGAACTCAAAAACAAATTTTGGTGGCTTGAGGGTCAGCAAAATAGTTTAGCAGGTAAAGGTACTTGTTGCCAACCCTATGATCGAGTTTCATCTCTGCGACCTCCATAGCAGAAGGAGGAAGCCAACTCCTGAAAGCTGTCCTCTGCCACACAGAGTATGGCGTGCATGAACCCACACACACAAAAAAAATCTTTTTTAAAAATATATAGCAGGATTGAAGAACTGTGGCTGGCGAGCTAGCTAATCTACGTTTCACATTCCATACTGGAGGAAGACAGTCTGGGCTTCAAGCCCAGTGCTGTGTACGTGACCCTTAGACAAATCACAGGAAACAGTTCACACAGCTGAGCCTGCCTTCCTTTTCCCTGTATGTTTCCTTTGTCTTTCAGCTCTCTTACTTCTGCTATGTGAGAACCCTTGGAGTCTGCAGAATGGCAGCCCAGCAGATTGCTCTGCCTCTTTATGTCTTGAATTCCTCTCCTCTCTTGCTACACTGCCTTCGTGCTCATTCCAGTCATTCTTTTTGCCCCCTCCCCAAGACATCCGGCTTTGTCTCAAGTTGCAACTGTTAAAGGGGACGAAGAGTCATTGTGGAGGTAGAGAAGTCAGCAGGGTCCAGGTTGCTTAGAGAATTAACTACTGAGGGGGCTTGGGGTTTGTTTGTTCCTTGTTTGGCGCAAAGTGGAAAAGCCTCAGAATTCACCTTCTATTTCACATCTGTTGTAAAAGAAAATAGGAAGCAGGTAAATCTGGTCTTCCATCAGGATCAAAATCACAAACAGACATGATTGAGATTCTACGCGGTAGGGAAAAAAGAATTACCCTTCTGCTGTCTTCCAAACAGCTGGAGCCTGTGCACTCCCTGACGCCATGGTCTCCAAGGGATTCATTCAGAGCTATCTCAGTTCAACCCTGCATGACTTGATCCATCATTAGCATCTTTTCTATGATGAACTATTACCTTGTGTTAGACTTAGGAATAGGAACTAGTCTACAGAGCATGTCCCCTAGTGGGGCATCCATTCGAACTAACAAGCAGATGTAAGGATTGAATTTAGGACACAAAAGAATAATGAGGCTAAAACGTAACAGGTGGGGAGGACTTGAGTTTCTTAGTACCTATTCTTATTTTAACCTGCTTGATCCCAGATCTCCCCTAGCAACTAAGAAGGAAATATTTTGTCAAGACCTCTTTGAACCTGACTGGAACTAGAGTTCAGATTCATTACCCTTTGAGATTTATCACACTTGAAAAACTTTTTCCTTATCACAACATACACACACACGCACACACACACAAGCATGCAAACTGACAAGGCCATATACAGCATTTAATTGTGACAATTAAAATTGCATTGAGCTGTATAGATATAGCTCAGTGGTCCAACATTTGCCTAGCAACTAGAGGCCCTGGATTACATCCCTAATACTGCAGGGGAGATCAATTATGAATACCTAATTAAAAGTTTGTCTTAGTGAGACAGTATGTGGCACTTTTATTAACCTTCACTTAATAGATTTAAAAAATATAAATTTCTCATTACAAAAATGCACTTAAAATCTTCCAAGAAAGTAAAAAATTCTGGATTTTATTTGTTCTCCAACAGCCACCTCAAGTTCTGTCTTCAGAGTAGTGATTTAGAATCCAGACATCTTTTGTTTTAGACAAACAAGCAAAACTATGTTGCAAGATGGATAGTTGTGATGTTTATTTGCTGCAGATCAAAGGTTCACAAAATATATTCAATTTTCAGGTACTTGAGGTACCTTGATTGATTCCCCAACACACACCTTGGATTTTTTTTTCCATTCAGAAATGTTAAGCCTTGGTGTCAGGGGGTTTTGTTTTGTTTTTGTTTTTTTGAGGGTTTCTTGTGGAGATTTTTGAGGGGTTTTTGTTTGTTTTGGGGTTTGGGTTTTTTTTTTTTTTTTTTGGTTGTTTTCAAAAATACTAAATTTTAAAAGTTTTATTTGCCAAACGTGTGCATACATATTCAAAGCAATGAAACTATTTCAAGCCATACAGCCACAGGGGTGGAAACCCTTTTCACAAATTTTAATGTGTTTGTATGTAAATAGATGTTTGTATGAAATATTTTCATGGTAGAATGAATATATTTAAATGAAGTTGAATTATTCCAGTGCTATTTAAACACATGACAAAATTTTTGGTGAGAATTATCTGAGTCTATTGAGATATAATGCAGATCAATTTTCATTTTTAGAAATCAAAAGCCTACAAAGTCCTCTGATTGGCGACCACCTCCTGGTGGGGTGGTGTCTGATGTGAGGTAGGCTTCCCCAGTGCCTCAGCCGCTTTCTGGTGGTAAGTTCGGTGCTAATGGAGGTGTGTTTACCTTTTAGTGATTCCCTACAGGCCTCCCAGGGGCCTGAGAGCGAATCGAGGCATTAGAGACAACGGTGCAGTTATCGGAGCACAACAATTTCTTTGCAGGGCAACAGAATCAGAAACCAGACATGGCCGTGTGGACCTCAGAACTGGGTTTCCCGGCCACCTTCTCTCGCCACCCCTAACTGCCTAGTCACAATGTCAGGGAGGCTACCCTCAGTGGAGTTGGGGTCCAGACCCCGGGGTGGGACTTCACAGATTTACCAATGCTTTTTGCCTTCTGCCCTCCCTCTCCCAGAGAGGGCGGGCAGCCGCTGGTGGGGGGGCCATTCTCAGCACAGTCCGTATCCTGTCTCAGCTCTGGACCCAACTTCACCAGAGAGGGAGACTTCCGCGGATAATGGAAACCCTTGATTCCTGTCTGTGACTTTATGCGCAGTTGTTAAGTGTCATTTTAATATGAAGACCATTCATTCATGTACCTAAGACATGCCTCCCAACTCTTCTGATGCTACTGGAAAACAAGACAAAACAAAAAATCCTTTAACAGTGATATGCCACTCGAGTGCGTTCCCCAACCCGCCTTTGGCCCTGGATATAATGAAACAATAATCTGACAAATTTTCACTGTGTACACTAGCAATATGAACACTGAGCCAATGCATCCTACTCCTCTACTTGGTTTCCATAATTACCCTTGATACTACAGGGACTATGTATGTCATGCCTGGTGGTTGCATAAGAAAGTTACCAAGTTATATCCATGATTTGTAGCTCCCTTCTCCAAATGTTTTTCCTCCTGGGTTTTCTATGTTCTCTTTCCATCCAAAAATACATTTATTGGGTTGTGAGGTATGTTTACAGAATGGAAGCCAGGGGTTATGCTTTCCGGCCTTGATTGTAACCAAAAGTCAACCATATCACAGTTCAAAAAAAAAAAAAAAAACAAAAAAAAAACCACCCATCTTTGGTCTTTTGTGGAATTTAAACTAAATCTATGAGCCTTATTCAATATCTATAATTCTATGATTTTTTTAATTATGGGAAATTAATGGAAGATGTTTACATGAGTAATGTTTGCCCTTACTGTGTTATGAATGAATTTTTTGTAGTGTGTCTGGGCGCATGTGCAAGAAAGTAGGAAAACTGTTTCTGAAACAAAACTTGACAAATATTTGTAATGAAAAGTAAACTTAAAGATTGCTATAATTGCGCTATAGAAACAATGCAAGTATTAAACAAAATACACAATCCTCTGTTGTCTTTTTTTTTTTTTTTTTGGTTGTCTAGGGAAGAAAAACAGCAAAAATGTCTATGGTGTGCCTACCTATTAAATTACTAAATGAAATTTACATTGGAATCTGTTTAGAAATCCTAGCGCAGTGATGGAGACATGACTCAGTGGTACTCATTCCATTAAGATCACTCACTGAAGCCAGGTGGTAGCCCAGGCCTTAAGTCCCAGCACTTGGGAGGCAAAAGCATGTAGATCTCTGAGTTCGAGACCAGCCTGGTCTACAGAGAGAATTCCAGGACAGCCAGGATTCCACAGAGATGACCCTGTCCCAGCATTAAGGAAGCAGAGGCAGATAGATCTCTGTGAGCTTGGGACCAGCCAGGGCTACACAGAGAAACCCTGTCTTGAAAAACCAAAACCAAACAAATGAAAATACCACACACTGCTCTTCCAGAGGACTGGAATTGCCAGCAACCGTGTCCGGTGGCTCACACCTGCCTATAACTCTAACTCCAGGGATTGTCATGACGGCCTCTTCTGGCCTCTGCAGGCTCATGCACTCATGTGTGCATAATCTCACATAGACACACACTTATACACATAATTAAAAATAAAATGAATCTTTAAAATAAAATCTTATTATGAGGACTGATTTAGATGGCTCAGCAGGTAAAAGTGCTTGCCACCAAGCATGGTGGCCTGAGTTCAATCCCTGGGACCCTCATGGTAGAAAGAAAACAACTAACTTCTACAAGTTGTCCTCTGACCTCCACATGTATTCCATGGTACAGACAACCCCTGCCAGTAATAATAAAATTTTAGTTTAAAAAAAAAATCATCACTCCCTGTTTCTTTCTATAAGAGCCTTGACTCTAGACTCCATCAGGTTGACAGCTGCAGCTGACTAGGACCCCCTTGATGACAGGTACTCAGAGATAAGTATCTTCCTGTGTGTGTAGGGCGTACTTTTAAGTAATCAATGGCAGAATATAAAACCATGGTCTCTAATTGTCCATCCAACTTCTCTTCAGCTATACACAGAGTAGGCCCGAGTCCACAGGAAGTGGGAAACAGGTCATTGACAAGCCAGGAGAAGCAAATGTGCACAGGTGGGTAGACCTGGGCAAAGGAGAAGGAATGAAGAGTTTGGGGAAAGGGTGAGCCTTGTAAGGGGGAGTCAGGGAAACCCTTACTTCCTGAGGGTAAAGACAAATCATGAATCACTATCCCAGGCTGGGGAGAGACATCCAGACCCCGATCCTGAAATAAGTGTGTGTGGACTTGCAGGAACCTCAGGAGTCAAAGCTGACAGCAGAGATGAATGAGCAGGAGTGGGAGTTAGGGTTTCTATTGCTGTGAATAGAACTGTGGCAACTCTTATAAAGGAAAGCATTTCACTGCAGTGGCTCACTTACAGTTCAGAGGTTCAGTCAATGATAATCATGGTGGGACATGGCAGCATGCAGGCAGACATGGTGCTGGAGAAGTACTTGAGAGTCTTACATCTTGACTCACAGGCAACAGGAAGTGGTCTGTCTCACTGGTTGTAGCTTGAGCATAGGAGATCTCAAAGCCCACCTCCACAGTGACACACTTCCTCCACAAGGCCACACTTCCCATTAGCGCCACTCCCTATGATGGTCATTTTCTTTCAAAACACCACAGATGCCCAGTGAGCAGCAGGTAATTGTGTTCCAAAGGACCTGGAGGTCCTGTCACAGATGAAAGAGTACCCAGAAAAACACCCAATAGAGTAAAGCTATGTTTGTCTTTGAAAACCAATTTTGTTCAACTGAGTGTATTACAGTTTCCAGAAATAGTCTTGTTTTGTTTGCTTGTTGGGAAAATATTTTAAATTACACTTACTTATTTACTGGGGGGTAGAGATGAGGCAAGCACGTCTGCGCCATGGCCTGTGCATGTGTGTGGAGGTCAGAGGACAACTTGAAGGAGTTAGTCTTCTCCTCCAATCAACCTCTCCAGGGATTGAACAGGCTGTCAGGATTGGCAACAAGTACCTTGACCCACTGAGCCGTCTTGCCAGCCTCCTTTTTAGTTTTGAGTCAGGGTCTGATGATGTTGCTCAGAGTGGCCTCAAACTGTGGGCGAGCCTCCTGCCTCCCAGGTTCTGGGATTACAAGCATGTATCACTATATGTGCCTCAGAAATGCTCTTGAAGCCATGGCTGCACTTTTCCTGAGACCTTCCTCCTATGTGCAACACTTTTGCTCCAGCACTGGTGTCAAGACTGGAGTAGGAATGGAGGCCCAGGTAGTAGTAGGAAGTAATGTTGAAGAGAGGCAGAATTTGAGGTGTGTCTTAAAGATTAACAGTAACAGTTATGAACTGTAGGGTTAGGCTTTTAAAATGCAGATTTGGGGCCAGGGAAATGGCTTAATAGGTGACAAACAAGATCACCGGAGTTCAGATCCCTACCACCCACATAAAACTGGTGTGGCCTCTACCTCAATGCTGATCTCAGTGTTCGGCAAGGAGCAGGGACAGGGTGGAGACAAGAGGATTACTTTGGGCTTGGTGGCCACCAGACCAGCTCCAGGTTCAGTGAGAAACCCTGTCCCTAGAATAAGGCAGAGAGTGATCTTATCCAATACCCTCCTCGGAGCCCTGACTCTGGGATGAGAGCAAGGGGAGGTATCCTCTGACTGTGTGGAGATGACTCAAGTTGTAGGCCCTGGGTGTGTTGATTTGCATGTGAAAGACCAGTTTAGGGTTTGCAGTTGTAGGAAATGAGTGCCCTGGCCAGCCAGAGCCTCCAGCGCCAGCCATGGGCTGTCCATCAAGACAAAGCTGAGCCGCAGGACTGGAAATGTAGCTCAGGGACAGCGCACTCACATCAACTGTTAGGTCCTGGGTTTGATCTCCAGAACCACAAATAAGTCACTGGGAAGAGAGTGAAGAGCAAGCCCTGTGGCTGGGGTCTGAAAACTACAGTTAGTGGAAGTGTCTCCCACCTGATGACTACTCTCGCAAGAATAGCCTTCACCCTCAGCTTTTCTCTGTGGCTTAGCTCCCCCTTGTGGTGAGGATTTATTCTCATGTTTCTGGCAATAAGACAAAACAATGACTTACTTCTGCTGTACCTTGAGAAGAAACACAAAGGCCAGGCAAGTACCACTTGGGAAGCAGAGGCTAGAAAATCAGCAATTCAAGATCATCCTGGGCTACACTCTTGAGTTCAAGGCTAGTATTCGGTACATAAGACCTTTTCTCAAAAAACCAAAAGTAGAGGAAGAGGAGAAAGAAGTCTGCCGGGGTTAGGGTATAGCTGAGTGCCAGGACAAGTGCTCAACATGTGTGAGGCCCTGGATTTCATCCCCAGCAACACACACACGCACGCACGCACGCACGTACGCACGCACGCACGCACGCACGCACGCAGACATCACAAACAATAAAAACAAGTGAGTTCTAGTACAGCCAGGGATACATAGACCCTGTCTCAAATAAATAAATAAAAATAAAAAATAGGGACTGGAGAGATGACTCAAAGGTTAAAAGCACTAGCTGCTCTTCCAGAGGTCCTGAGTTCAATTCCCAGCAACCACATGGTCGCTCCTAACCATCTATAATGAGATCTGATGCCCTCTTCTGTCGTGCAGGCATACATGCAGACAGAACACTGTATACATAAATAAAATCTTTAAATAAAAACAAAAACAGTATTCCAGTCTGTCATTTGAGTGGAATATATACTAGAGGGAGTAGCAGCCACCCCTTAGCAACTAAAAATTCCTAAAAGAGACTTGCTTATATATTTATAGTATTATGAATGCCACATGACATATTAAAATTACATTCAGCCTATGTGCATCTATCAACATATGCTTATGTATGTGTACATGTGTGTGCACAAGAACTCTTAGATAGGTAATGGCTATAGCACCGACAGAATGTGGCATACAGTCAGAAAACTGACAGCAATCAATCACTATTTCAAATATCATGCACTTGCCCTTGACACGGCCACCATGAAACATCAGATATGAGACTCAGAGCCTCTGATCAGGAGAAATAAAATCCAGCAAAAGGAGGGGAGGGGGAGCATCATGGAAATGCAGTTGGTTTTTTAGAAGTCTCCACGATTGTTCTGAGCACCTCAGCCACCACCTCTGTACCTTATCAATCACTGACAACATTCCTGAGTTCACTCTCCAACTTCAGTAGAGTCAATAACTTTACATAAGGGTTTGTTAAGTGTAGCGCCTCTCAATCTCTAGTCTCAGAGAGCCCACAGCTGCATGGAGTTGTCTGGGCGGGACCCCAGCCCCCCCCCCCAAAAAAAAAACGAAAAACCCAGAGCTCTGCCTTGCTATGGAGTCCAATAATTGATGTTCATGGTAGTGTTCCCAAGTAATTAACAAAAGATTAAAAGTAAACAGAAATGATGGTGGTGACTGTCTTGAAACTGCTCCCTGGGGCCCTATTAAGATCCAAGCAGCGATATCTGATGTCATCAGAGAACAAGAAGGACAGGATTGGAACTTTCTTTAAGATAATACAGTGGGAGAAGTAGCTGAGGCATAGATAAAACCAGACTGGCCATATGTGGAAGCTGAGAGATGGGCACAAGGGAGTTCATTATATTATAATGCCTGATTTTATGTTTTCAAATCTGGAACTTAAAAAACCATAAAACAATTTTAAGACTCCCAAAGGTTATTAACTATAAACATATCAAGTGCAAAAATCACTGAACTTGATTGAGGCAAACATTACCTGTCATAATTCTATCTGACCAATTGCCTTTCTTAAGTTTCTTGGGCCTGGTGGCATCTAATCCCTATTGTGAAATGGATGAGTCAGGTTTCATTAAATGTTTCACTGATATCAGAGAACCCTACGATCTGATTCATGCTCATTAGGCTGCTCTCTGGCTGTCACCCTGCCTTTGGGGGATAGTGTTAGATGTGTTTGCCCAGCTCCTTGGTCCCTGTAGCAGTCACATTTTTCACTGTCTGTGACTACACTGGAATTCTGGTTCTGAACATTGGTCTT